GAGATAGATATATATATATTTCTGATGGTATGATAAAGTTATGACAATGAACACTAAAACTTTTGCTAATAATCTAGATATATGATATTCAAGTGAATTAAATTAGTCACCTACCTGTATTCATCTAAAAGTCTTGCCATAAGCGATTAAAAAAGTAATAATAATACTGTTGATTATGTTAACAATCATTAAGTAGTTATGTATCATTTTTTAAAAGATTAAACAAAATGAATATGAAATGGATAATCTGTAATACAGAAATGTAAATCTCTGAAGAAAATGAAAGATTTCATTGAATATATGTATATATATATATACATCATTTGTTGTATAAGTGAAGTCTGAAGTTGATTGTTTTCTACAATAGCATAACTTGAAACAGACAAGATAAACAATGAAAAAAGAAATGTTAATCGATTAAGATAATAAATCATGATCTTATTTGAACAAAATCAATCAAGCTTATTACATCGGTCATAAAATATCCTATTTACACAATGTAACTAATAGTGAAAAGATTAAACTGAGTAAAAGAAATACTGTTCATATAGAAAAAAATAAGGTAATAATGATAAGTATTTAATGTAAAGACTGTGAAAACTGCATCGTTTATTTTTGAGAGAGAGATTATTAATTCGACCAACAATAGAGATGAAGAAGAAGAAAGTTACTTGTCAATTAATCGCTAAATAATTGACATGAATTGTTTGTGTAAAAGGATTATGAACAATTTTACTTTTTTAAAAATGGTACAGTTACGATGACTCTTATCTTTATTAGAAGATAAAACATGCGGATACTTTATTCAAAATAACAGAAACATTTACAGCTTTGACATAGAAAAAACACTAAGAGGTGAGACTATAATATATAGACGACTTTGAGTGTTGCTAAACTGACCTTGGGAGTGTCCATCTAACAACTAGAACCAAATGTGGATTATAAACCAGTATGAGGAATTAGAATTATGATATACAGTTGATGGTTAAGGTTAGGAATTAGATTTAAGATTTTCATCACGAACTGACATCAGCTATAATGCGAAAACTTTATTTAACCAAATGAATAAGTGAATTTCGCAACAAAATCCGAAACCTGTTTTCTTATACTTGGTTGGTTCGTCCATAAATTATAGTGTCGTTACATTAAAAAAGTATTTAGTTAGAATTAAATTTTTGTAGAACATATTTTCATGCAAATTATTGTTTGAGGATCAACAAAAACCACACGATATAAATAATAATTAAGTTATACACGAATTTAGTTTTCGTTATATTCATACAAAACTAATATTGTGTCAGATGGGTTTATTATTTATAAGTTAAAAGGATAGCCAAATATTTATTATCTAATACTGTTACCTAAATATTTGTGACCAGATTTCCCAGTGTACTGAACATAATACAATTCATTCATTCTGAAAAACCAAATACATACTTATACGATTTGATGTAAAAGCATAGAACAAGCTAGTAGATGACAATCTATATGTATATCAGTATTAGACAAAAAACTATATCCTAACACTTTAATTTATATGTCGAAATTCGTTCAGACTGGAGGCACTTAGATTTATCGGCTGAAAATCAGAACGATTATTTTTGTTCATGTAGATTCACATTATCAAAGGAATTACATCTTGTAAGGTATTTTTCTAGAGTGATATATATAACCACTTGGGAAATATGAATGGTTCAATCGAAATAACTGTTTAGTACTTTTTTTAATGATTGCCCAGTTAGAGTTTGTTTATGGTGTAAACTATTTTTAAATTAAATAAAAATCAAATAAACTTGTTAAATTAATGACAACACTTTAATATCGATAATTTTATAGAAAGTTTATGTGTACAGATGTATGTATAACTGAAAAAAGTTATTTCAATACTTGTAAAACAGCTAAACTTGATCTCACGACGGTTTATCATCATAAACAATACAAAGCAATTATTTGATAATCGATTCTCTGATCCTGATGGTATCCGAAACAAAATAATTCAGCAGAGCTATGTGTACAATAAAACATGGAATACAATATATTTTTCATCATCAACGTCTTTGATAACAGTTATTAAAAATGTTAGATGATAAGGGAGCTTGCCCAGAAATTAAATCTAGGCCTCATAAACGGTGATGAAAACAAATGATAAGATTTCTTATGAATCATTATTGGTATTTAATTCAATTAGTCAAGTTGTAAAAATTGATCTCCTGCAGTGGACCCAATAACAAGATGGTACTGGCACATTTATAATCCCAATAGTGAAGCAAATATGATACATTGTTTAGACCTTACTTAGAAGACATTGATGTAACAAAACTTAAGTAAACGGAATATATCCATTAAGACTTAAAATAATGAAGATTCGTTCAGCAAAAAGTTCTCTTTTCAGTGAATTCATTTTCAAAGATGTACAATCGCAAATATGTATAGTTATTTTTCAAGATAATAATAATAATTGCAATAATATTGATAATAAACTTCTGTTAAACATGGTAACAGTGAGGCTTGTTTATTCTACCTCATTGTTACCATGTTTAACAGAAGTTTATTATCAGTATTATTTAAATTATAATCATCCTGAAAAATAATTATACATATTTGCGATTGTACAGCTTTGAAAATGAATTCACTGAAAAGAGAACTCTTCACTGAACGAATCTTTCTTATTTTATAATAAAACCTTACACATACATTCTTTATCATTGACAAACATAATTTGACTTTTTATGTTTCAAATAATTATTGTATGATTTCAAGTTCTCAACGATATATAAGATAAGCTATGTAAATCAGTATCGAGTTTTACTAGAACTTTTGTTTGATGGTTGCAAACAAATGGTAGGTAGCCTTGGCTTCAGATCCTATGCATACATATACAAAACAAATCTAACATGGATCACTCAACCCAGTTACTGACCCTTCCAACAAAGAAATTGCTTCGAATTACTAAGCATCACATTCAAACAAGTATTTAGACATAATCTGTTAGAGGAATACTATTCAGATGTTATAACACTTGTGAGATACACATAAATTTAATTCTCAAACTGTTTTTTTCTAACTTCTATCTGTCTATAATATAGTCCTTGTGCCATTTATACAATTTACAATACCTTATCATTCTTCTGTTTCAATTAACTCTAATCAACAGAATAATTTGACATATTTAGGGATATTCACTGATTAAAAACTTATGAAACCATTGATCAGTAATAAAATTACAAGTGAAAAAGAAAGTATGTTCTAAAGTATGATACCTTTTGACTTTCTTGTGTTTATTTCTCTATTATAACTTGATTTGTTTATGTATCACATATCTATTGCTAAAACTGTTTATTCATCCTTATTACAATTGGCAATCTATATGAAAATGAATTGTATTTACATCCTGAATATAGTTATCATTTCAAATGATTGAAAATACATGTAACACATCTTAATCAGTTGATTATAGACTTCTAATAAAATAGTTATCCTTTTTGTTTGATAGAAATAAACATACAGTGATTTCATTCATTTAGTTAAAGTGATTTTTTTCGTTAGTTCTTGACATTAGATTACTTTAGTGGAAAACATATATAGATCAGTGATTTTTGTCACAAACGTTTGTTAGTTTTTTTTTCTTTTGCTCTATTTAATTAAATGAAAAATACTACTGATTTTGTTTCTTTTCATGAATCAATGGTATACATATATATTGGAATAGAAAAATAGGTTTGTAAATAAAACAAAACCCCTTCTGATATTAATCAGTATATGCTCACTAGTGACTGGCTTCAAGAGGTATATCCTGGAGTTCTAGTGAGATAGTAACTCACTGAAGACAATGGTGAATGTGCCGCTCAATTTCGTGGATTAGTTGAAGCTAGACATTAACACCGTTGTATACCGGACCAGTAGTCTAGTGGTTAAGTGCTCGTGCTCAAGACTGATAGGTCCTTGGTTCGAATCTCGCGAGGTGAGGTCGTGGATGAGCACTGCTTTGGAGTCCCACAATAGGACGAAATGGCCGTCCAGTGCTTCCAGGTTTTCCGTGGTGATCTAGCTTCAATTGGCTCATGATCCGAAATATTCAGATCATAAAGATATTTCAAAAGTAAAGACTTAGTGGCATAAATTCCTAAAATCTTAATTTCTGGATTTTATATTATTCAACTAAACATTTTTAGATTTTTAAACATTAAAAAAGTGTAGTTAGATTATTGCAAGTGAACAGTAAAAGAAGTAGTCGCACTAATAATATTATCATTTTAAAATATTGCAAGCCAAGTGTAATTTTCAATATCAAAGTTATTTTGGGATCAATAAAATAACTCCGGTATTTTTATTCATTTTGTTGATTTTATTTCGTTGTATTAATGTGGTATGTTGACTTGGGACAAGCAACATCTACGTTGATGATTGATTTCAATCAATGAAAATTTATAACTTAATTAATTGATTTGCCATATTTTTCTAGTATCCTAAAACTAGTTTCAACACTATTCATTCAGTCGTCACGTGATGATAAGCGGGAAATGTCCTGAAGATATCTATGATTAGATATCAGCAATCTACTTATGTCTATCACTTATAAAATCCATATTTTATACATATAGAGAAATATAGAGTTGATTGCCTCACTTTACAATTTTTTTCTATCCGAAATTCCTGTTGATACATAATAATAAAAGGTAGATGTTAAAAGAGTAAAACAAATTTTTCTTTACATGAAAATAAGGATTTCTCCATATTTATTTAATGATAATAATAATAATAATGAATAATGGTGGCGGTATAAGCAATCATTTATTAAATAAAATCAAAATTTTCATCTTTATTGCTAAAAAACATTGGAATATTCATTAATGGTTCTGTATGTACGTGTAGGTGCTTTTTTTCTCGCTAAATATGTATATGCGTGTCCGTTTGAAACACTTGCATATGCATTAGTATGGTATTCATGGAAGAATTAAAAAGCGAACATTTTCCACACTCATATATGTAATAATTAATAATAATAATAATAATAATAATAATAATAATAATAATAATAATAATAATAATAATATAGAAGAGAACAATGATAATAGTAATATTAGTTTCCTCTTAGTAAATCATTACAACAGGATAAGGCACTTCCCCACTTTCTCTCTTTTCAATTGACCAACAATAGTCGAATGTTTAGCATCTTGCATTATAAATATAATCAAGTGAAATAAATTATTTACTAAATCAGCCATCCCAAACAAAAAAGATAAGCGAAATGTGTCTAAGAAAACAAGACAGGAAGATTAACAGGAACAAATGAGAGTTTGGTAAAAACAGAAGACTGGAGAACAAGAAAAGGTCGACAGCAATAAACACATGGATACAAAGAGATTTACATTTCGTTTAACATATAATCATAATGTTATTCGATTAATTTTAAAATGTTTGTGTATCTGTACAATTCTCAGTTATATGATCATCAAATATACCACAATTGTCACAGTATAAACGATTTATTGTTGTTACAGATGAATTCTGTTTAGAAATTTTATGAAAGTTTTTTAAAGATGACTTTCTAGGGATTTCATCATGGATTATTGAGTTTTTAATCATACCATTAGTGGTATAATGTTGATGTGGGTGATTATTCCCATTTGTCTGTGAACAGTCTTTTGTATCATGACTATCAAATACAAGACAATTATCACACCATAGACGTGTAGGTGGTGGATTACGTGATTTGATATGTTTATTAGAAGGTAAGCTGAAAATAGAAGAGTAAAACAATAATGATTAGATAATTGAATTGAAAAGATAATTTTATTTTAATAGTTAAAAACTAGATCATTCTGAATTACGTGTAATATTTGTACATAAGTTGTACTGATCATGGATTGATATCTCAGTCGACGTATTATTGAAAATTATAGAGTAATTGGTACTGGCCCTGTATAAATACCTCAACTGAGATTAATTTATGACGAGTACAAACCACAAATTCAACTAATCTCCAAGATTCTCTACAATTAGAATTTATCTATTTATTTGTCTTTGAACAAGAAAACTCCTCTAGGTATGTAACCTTACGAGAGCAATAATTTGAGTTATACATCAGAAAGTTAAATACCCATTAAGAAAAAACATGTATATAATCAAAATGGGACCGAATATATTGATTAAAAGCTGACTGAAAATAACATTGTTTATTTTGGTAGTCCGATTCAAGAATAAAAGTAGGTTTTCTTCCCAGTGATATTCCGTGTGTATGCATGAAGTTGTTAAATAAATATGTAATCTTATAATGTGATAACTAAGTATGCATGTGCTTAAGGATATTTATGACAAGAGTTAGAATGAATAGTATATGAACTCTAATGCACACACAATATATTTTACAAGAAAAATGAGATGTGAAACAATATTGGAAATGAAAAGAAAAAACTAAAATTGTTCAACCGGTTGAAAAATTGAAAAGAAAAACAGTTTCGTATCTTAGAACGATAAATTAATTCAAATTCCACTAAGAAGTAAACAACATTAACCAGGTAATTGATCAGCTCGATATTAAAACGGACGGAAGAAGTTTCATTCTACCATGGAATAACTCTTAGTTTCACATTCACACGTAAAAAAGGACTGTTTTATGATATATGAAATTTGTTTAGTAAGTGATATAACGAACGATTTTAGGCCTTTTTTCTCTTCGGTATACTACGCTACTAGGATGGATTGGATTTACAATACCGCCAGATTGGATACTCGAACAACCCGATATATGCAGACTAGATGACGTTACATAAGAGGCCAGATTTGCGACCAAAATAGAGTACCAGAATAATGATAGGCAATGCTTCATTCAACACAATAACAAGCAGTCACTCTCAGATATTATGGAGTAGAAGTTACTAAGAGGAAAACAGTCACATATTTAATAGTCAGTAAGTTGCGTGCTTGTTTGTCCACACTCAATAACCAATCACATTTACTTCCACTATCACACATTAGTAAGTAGTAACCGTAGTAACCTTATTAGTGAATGACCTCGAGATGCATTCATTGTTGTTTTAATGAGAATCCATGATCTGTGGAATTCCAAGAGACTAGATTTTGACAGCAATTAATTGACAACATTGTATAAGGACAGTGCTATAACATCATGGATTAATTAAAGTTGAAATTTTGAAATACTGAGATCCTAACACAGTAGGTCAATTACATCAAGCTTATTGCCAGATAGAAGAGTTTTATGTTAAATACTATGTGTAGTTTTGAATGAGCACTACTTAGAAGCAATAATCTAGGAAAAAGTAAATATCAATAACTCAGTATGAAGATCGCTTACAAATTTTACAAAGTCTACATGAATCCACAATAATAATACTTCAACAGTTGTGCAAAACAATACACATTATGATAATGGTAATAATAGTAATTTTCCATTTGAAAACAGCGAATTCTTTTAACATACGTACGGTTTTCTTAAGTAACTTACTCCTATGTGATTGAGCCATAGTTTATTCAATGCTCATCGAGTAGCGTTCATTTAAATAAGCAATTTGCAGACAATACAGAAGATCACTGCATAGTATCCAAAAGAAACTTATTTACATACAATAAATAAAACAATCGTAGAAAAGATTTGACAATAAACATACACAAATATTTTAAAAAATCTAAGGGATTAGGGTTGAAAAAGAGAAAACTGAATAAATAATAAAATATTCATAATTTATGGATGATAAATAATAACATTGTGTTTAATCCTGAGTAATTTTTCTGAATATAACTGAGAAATCTTGGGTAACACATCACATAGTTCTTTTTTTTCAATTGAGTCCTACTTCAGTCAGCATTTTGTAAATGGACAGATAGTAACAACGAAATGACATATGTACAACACTTATATGAGCTCTAAATCTTCTTTATTATTTCAAAATTAGTATCATCAGAAGTAATGCACAAACGTAACAAAATATCAACCAAACAACACGTCCTATAGACATACCACATTTTAATCATATGCCTAGTTAGTACGAAAGACAAAAGAAAGTATGTGTGTAGCAAAACATTAGAGTACCCAGGGCTTACAAAGATATTCACTATCTTTTTGCCAACAATGAAAGTAAAAAAATATCGGTAGTAAGAATGATGAAGTTAAGCGATCGAACATACTGTGAACTAACTGATAAAGTATAATTGTGGATTTATAAAGATATAGAAGAAAATATGAATTTCTATTATTTAGCAACCTCTTGGAAGATCTTTCTTCAGAAAAATAAGTAACTTTTATACAACAACATAGGGAAAGATTGTAAAACGAACTAATCTAATTAAAATATCAATGAATGACAGACAAATATAAACATTTCAATGTCACATTTATTGACAGTGACTAAATTAGAGAGTGGCATTTAATGTGTAGCTCTATGTATATCACAAAGTGTACGTGAAGATGAGATTCACAGTGAAAATGGATGATTTGATTCAAAATTGCTTTGCTTTATTTGAAATATGTGTGAGTTGAAAGAATATTCACATAATAAGTAAACATATCTACAGGACTTCAAAGCTAAGAGTTTATAGATTTTTGGAAGATATTTCTAGATGACCATTATTAAGATGTTACTTTCTTTATCGCTTTCATTTTACAATGTAACTGTGAAATTATTTTTTCGTTGAAAAAAATAACGAATATAAAACGTCAAGAATCCATTTTTCCCATCCACTAAGCACGATATTACGAATATATGTGACGTTAATGAGATACCTCAACCTATTATTCACGTCATATTTAATGTACAGTAATTTTTTCAACAATCAATAACACTTTCAAATTATTTAACTAATAATATTAACTTACTCTAGTTGTTCATCTGTTCCGACAAGCATTGCTCGTACACGAGATTCTAGTTCAGCATTTTTAGCATGTAGATCAACAATGATGGAATTGAGAAAATTCACTTGTGATTCAGTTGAAGCCTTTTCTTCAATTAATCGGTTTATATCAGACTGTCCACATTGATTTGCTGTATTAAAAAAAGGGGGAAAAACAAGAGTAATGAAAACCTAGATTCGCTTTTCTGCAAACAACAATTAAGCATATTACTTGTAATGGTTTGTTGCTTTTAAAGACACTCATAAAAGACTGATTAATTGTAGTTCTTAGGATTAAATAAGGAAAAACTGTGATTTGTAGTCGTTATACAAACTAGCAGCTATCTGGAATCAGTAGCTCAGTAAGTAATGCGCTGAGTGTTTGAAGCGAAAAGTATTAAGTTCGAATCTAAGAGTGAACATCAATACTGGGATACAAAATGTGCATCCACCTGACGAGCCCCAAATACCATCACCTAGTTGCAGGATTTGGACGTAATCAGTCATTGGAGGGTCGGGGTCTTTGACCACTAAACTATGGTCTTACATAAAACATGTAGATCACTGGATCAATCTCAAGAATATCAATCTGTTTCGCGTATCGTTTATATTTTTTAGGAGTTTTCCCAGTCCATTATGAATTCGCCTTATGCGAAAAAAGTATAAACTATCGACACAGTGTTTCAAAGGTATCCTGTTGGTTGCAAGATTTGGAAATCCTGGATTTTGATCCGGTCAGATACGGCCAACGTGGATGCTTACAGTTGATGAACGACTTTAAAACTAAAAAGAAACAGCTACTGAACGAAGTGTAATTCTTTAGGTATGTCCCCTTAAGAAGAAAATTACGGTATGATATTTAAACAGTCCAACATCAATTATGAATTACAAGTTTGCTAACTATATTCACATGTATGGATTCATAAATCCACTTTTAGAACAATGTTAATATCATTCAGTAACCAAGTAAACATTATTGCTACAGATAAAGTCCACCTGCCACTATTAATATAAATTGAAGGATTAGTGATTCTGAAGATGAACCAAAAGATTACGTCAACACCACATAAATAATATTTTAGTAAATGTCTCATAATGAATTGAAGAATGAATTCATTACATGGACAAGTATACTAAGAATAATGCATATGTACTCAGCAGTGTAAAAGTTTATATAATAACCAGAGGAATCATGTACTACATTAACGTAAAACAATGTTATCACATGATATCAGTTTGCATTTTTGTACATTAGAGTATATGATATCAGTACCAGCATCACTATCCGCGTTTTAAAGTGATACACACATACATACACATACACGTGTATGTATGAGTTGATAGAATAACAACAGATACAGACAAAAAGAGAGCGATTAGTATGAGAAATATCTTTGAATTAATAGACAGTCAACTTGGCTATGAGCCAAAAAACGCCAATAATGTATACGTTCACATCGATCAGGAGAAACCTAGACATACACACAATAGTGTTTTTTTCTTAACAAAAATACGGAAAGAAAAGAGACCAATTTTATATGTGCTCATCACAGAACAGTAAAGAGAAAAATAAAGGCGAGAAATTTGATGTATACTTTTAAAGAATTAAATGTTCAGTAAACATATTTCCATGCATGAATAGATTTATACGGAAGTAATCTTAAACACACACACACACATGGAGTGTAAAAACAGAACGCAACGCGCACTTTTTTGATTCTTAAACTCATGGATTAAACAGAAAGATTTAGATAAGTTGAAAATGTTTTTTTTGTGAAAAGAATAACAACTTATCGAAAAGATGAGTTTTATATATTTTTTTCATTGTCTTCATAGTCAAAGAAGATTATAAATGAATAATTCAATGAATAAATAAACTATGCCCTAAGATAAATAAATTAGTCAAGAAAGGAGAAAGATGCGAAGTTTTGACGAAAAACTAGAGAATAATCACACAACAATAAAGAATAAGGCGCACTTTCTTTTTTTTTCTTCATTGGAACAATGACTAGAATCTGTTAGGAAGCATACTGTTATAGATAAAATATAGTTTACAGAAAAGAAACATGCAAATAACAAATAATCAAAATAATAATTACTTCCAATAGTCAAAAATACCCAAGTTCAATTTATGGAAAAGTGTATATGAGAAGAAAACTCGAAAAAATCTTAGAAATAATGATCTTAAATTGTTAAGAGGTGTTATAATGCAAATATTTCATTGATAATTATAGTGTAATAAATCCTACTTAAAACAAATTAAGTAGTTAATAGGCAGATAAACAATACATTATTATAATTTACGGTATTAAAAAACAAACTGTAACCTATTGTCTTAAACTTAATGTATCTGTACGAAAAAAAAGAGTGAATAATTTAACAATAATAATTTAACATTACATTGTGACTCTCTTTCTATTTAAATGCATACACTTCATAAGTATTCTTGATAACACACCTTGAATTGAATAGTTAAATTATATTTAACATGCTTATTTCTATAACTATCCATTTTTATTTATAATTTTATTAAAAAATTAAATACTACTTAATTCTTAATGATTGCCCACATTAAAATTAAACAATTTCCATAACTACAATAATCATATATATAATAATGATTAATTTTAATAAGTAAGCAACTAATAATTATTTATAAATCTAAGCATAATCTTATGATATTGTTTCTTGTCTTTGTTTTATTTCAAAATGTATTCTTCATTTGAATATGCAACTAATTAAAATTTACTTTATTTTTTTTTAATAATGAAAATAGTTAATCTCTTTGATGTTTATTAGAAGCTTTTAATTAAATTGGCGCGTAATATACACTTTTGAACAGAGAATTGATCACAACTAAAGAAGATATATATCTATATAAACGAAATATAATAAGTATAAGGGATAATCAGACATGATTCACATAACTATTGATATAAAAGTAATTAAAATTAATATTATCATGATAAGTTTCTTGTAAATTTAAAATGTTTTTGAATAATTAAATATTGGGAAATTAAATTGTTCAATAGTAATATACTCGATAAATTATAAATTAATCATCACAATACCATAATGGATATATTCAGATTGAAACTATGATTTATTTGTAACATAATTTTAAATACAAAGGAGAAAGAATCTTTGTCATTTTCTGTTATTGGACAACTGGAATTTATTCATATTAAGTGTTGTCAAATTCATTCGTCTTCTAACCATCTGTAAATACACATAAAACTTACTTCATTCCATGCAAGTGAATCTACAGACATATAAGTGGATGTGACGTGATCATTTACAAGTCGCTTCATTGTTTTTTTTGATGATAACAAACTGAGTTGTGTAATTTGGTCCTACTCAACTTCGATTTAAACCCCCAAAGGCCTTGTGGATTAGACATTTAGGTCAAAGATTCGGTGTGTCGCCTCATAAGAGAACCACCTGCTTTGATCTGGGGACCGGGGTAGTATTTCAACCCTCACACGAATCAATGATAACTACTACTGGCCTCATTGTAATTGTGTGGCGCATATGCATTTTATAGCTTCCGTGTAGAAATGTTTATGTGATCAAATAAATATGTTTCAACTTAAGGGTGCCCGAATCAATTATTGATCGAAGTGTAGTAAAGATATCTTATCTAAGTACCAAAACTGAAGACGCTCTTCACAGTGGTAGTAATGAATCCTGATGAGTGCACTCATTTCGTATCAATATTTTATTTGACAGTTTCGTCATTTTTCCCATGGGTTTTTTATACAAGCATGATGCATTCTATTAAAAAAACTTATCAAACTACTTCATCTAAGATACTATCCTGTCTCTCCTTACGTTTTATGAAAAATTTTGTCTGATCAATGCAGTGGTTCATCTTTCGCTATTTATTCGTTTAACTTATAAACAAGTAACATTGTTTAGTGATTATGAGACAACTACTTAGTATCTGTCACAAATACATATCCAATCATTGTATCGTCTCATAAATAGGCATCATTCAACCCAAAATACCTTACAATTTACAACTATCAGGTCAATATCAAGATGACACATTATCGGTGGTTAGAAAAAAATAACCAAAATTATTAGTAATTAACCATATCCGAACTGATAGGTACTGGAATTTCTGTTGCAAACCAGATTTCGACGATTACGTTTATACTTCAATATATATTTAGTAAAAAAATAATCGGTTTACCTTTTGTTAAATTAAAAACAATGCAAACAGAATTAATTTTGTTGGAATCAGTAATTACCATTCATTTTTCGATTCAATAATAGATCTGATGAAATTACTGTGAGTATTTAACCACCACGTTAAACTTAGTATTTCGTTTCTCTTCTCTGTCTTCAGTGTCAGCTCATATGTTACTAACATTTCTTTGTAAATTGCCGAGTTAGACTTGCGTATCGGGTTATTCATAATATGAACGAAGTGGCATGTGTTGATTAGAAACATGCTCTATGAGAAAAACATTCCGAATTCAGATGTTTATTACCTTATAACATTTCCTAATGATTTTAAGACTGTAGGATAATAGCGAATTTTTTATTACCACATTTACGCTAAGCTTGATTGAAATTTGAACGAGCATCGATGATTACAATCTAAGGAATTTTATCATTTACAATCATAAAAACATTTAAAAAATCCACTTAAATAATCAAACTTTATCAATCATTCTGCAAATAACTGATCTTATGAATGGGTAAGATCTCACTAAGCTCAGTTGACGAATTTGGTTGGTGTTCAAGTAAACGATTTTCTGCCTCTTTAATTCGCTCCAACAATACTTGTTTCTCAGATTCTAAAGCTGTTATGGTATGGTTGTGTACTTTCTCAAGCTCCATTTGCTGATTATATACAGAAGGTAGAAAGCCAATAGAAAAAAAGGATGTTAGTACATGAGTTATATAAAGAGTGAATAATGTAAAAGATGATCAGAACACTTATACACAAATTGAACGACTAACAAAATGAAACGACAATCAAATAAAAATTAAGAGAAATACAATCATATGTCTACAAAACGTTTGGTGATTATAGTAAGGTGTATTTTAAATGCTACTTGTTATGAGACTCCTGTTACGATATAGGATTTATATATTCCAGTACTGTAAACGTAATTTACGAATAATATTCAACTGAACTAACCGTTTTATGTATAGAGCTCCTTTTAATTATTTAAAAAGAGCAAAAACAAAGATTTTAACAGAACAGTATGAACACATCTGTTATAGTTCTGCACTAAAATTATAAAAGTGCATATATAAATAATGTTGGTCAATACGAGCCATCTTGATATGGCAAAGGCATAAATAAATTTGAAAGAATCCTTGATTGAAAGTGAATTCAGTAGAAATGCGTTTAGCTTTTTATATTACTAATAAGTAGTTGATATTTTATTACAGCTTTTTCTTCACTTAGCGAAAGTTGTATCCATTTTTTAATATCATTCCAGATATTAATTAAAACATTGGGGGACGTATTATAGTGTAATAAGATGAAAATTGTCATCACAATATGATATATTAGTGCAATACATTTCGAATAATCTGATAACATACATAGTTGTTAAGAACATTTATATATGGAAAATAAAAGGTCAACAATACAAATGGAATGTGAAGATGAGAGGAACAAGGGTCATAAAAAACGATGTGAAAACAATGTGATACGCCATCCTGGATAATATAACAATATTACCAGGATGAGTTTGGAGTGAGAACAAACTTTTTTTTTAATATGTAAACGGGGTTTGGATTTTCGTATTGGTGTAAAATGGCTATACTTTGAAATTCATAACATTCACTTAAATCGTTAATAACAAAAATTCAATCAATAAGAGAAGATAATAAACATCCATCATCATCTATTGCCAAACAAATACTTGGAACAGTTCGTAGGATGGATCTTGATTCGATTTTTGTGGTCTTGTACAAAATCATTCAAAGGCTAATACTAAGGTTTAAAGAAGCCTTGGCTATAAGAAAATTCAGACTCCGTTTACATATTTAAAAAAAAACAATTTGTTCTCACTCCAAACTCATCCTGGTAATATTGTTATATTATCCAGGATGGCGTTTCACATTGTTTTCACATCGTTTTTTATGACCCTTGTTCCTCTCATCTTCACATTCCATTTGTATTGTTGACCTTTTATTTTCCATATATAAATGTTCTTAACAACTATGTATGTTATCAGATTATTCGAAATGTATTGCACTAATATATCATATTATGATGACAATTTTCATCTTATTACACTATAATACGTCCCCCAATGTTTTAATTAATATCTGGAATGAAAGTGTGAAATTTGAACTAATGACATGAAAACGAAGATTCCTAATTTTTATTCAAGTGATATAAAAAAGACGTCAGATGCTACATATAAAACAAGTTAGCATACCTATGACTTCATCGGGATAGGAACAATTAAATGCAATACTAATTAGTAGTAATGGACAAAAGAGATGTTTCGAATGTTCTACTTTAATATGCAGCATCAATCCTCCGATATACAGAGGTCCTATGGCGTGAGATCAACATCCGACAACCTCGAAAGTTTGGAAATATCGATTTTAAGTTAAACAGAGGATTCCAAACTTCCTTGAATTATGTATACCAAATAAATAACTGGAATAGATATGTTTGAAAATTTAGGTTTTTCTTCTTTATCCAGGGGTCATTATTAAAAATTTTTTGTCTGACTATTATATTCAATCCTACATACTTGATAATGACCTACATATTGGTAAGTATATTTATTAGTTATTTGTAAATAAATCAAAATAACGTTTCTTCTCAAAAAGAAAAACACAACTATACACAAAGAAATAACTTAAAATTATTCACAGATAAGAAATGGCGTACTTCATTTAGAACTTTATCCAACTGTGATTGAATAGTTTGTAATTCATTCGATTTGATTTCAAGTTGACTAAATGCATTAGAAGCACTTTTCTCTAATGAAAACATCCTGTATTAAAATATAAATGAATAACAGTTTGAGAAAAAAAAATCTTTGATTTTACAGACTAAAAAAGTTATACATTAGTTATTTTGTGACAAAATACTTGGTATGTGAACGAAAGTTACACTAGTTAACGGATTGAAAAAGAAATAACATCTAGGTTATAAAGAAAAATATTCAACAATTATTTGTCAACGAATTATCCGATTATTGAAGTAAATTCATTTTTATTGTAAACCATTTACTAAAAAACAAATTCCTGTATTCACCTTTGAGTTATATTGTAGACAAGGACTTGCGATAAACAATAGTTAACTGTCTTATGAATTTTTTCATTAATAAAAATGACACATATCACCAAGGTATAAACGTTATAAACCTAACAGACAGATACTGAGCAAACAATGTGTAACAGCAGAAAGTTACACAAAATAGAAAACAAAATAATAATAATAACAATAATAATAATAGAATACCATTTAATTATTGATAGACTAGCAGATACTAATGACAATGTTCATTTAAGTGTAACGTACATATTTCTTCAGAAATCAGTTTTTCTGTTTCTTTATTATAGGATATTGTAGAGATTTTTGGATATTATAGTTTACAATAAAGATTGATGTTGGTTAGACAACACCTAAAAAGCAGAAGGCACTGAATAGTTGTTTTATTTTGATATGGGACTTTATGATAGTGCTCATCCACGACTCCTTTTAGGACTGACCTTAAGACCTTCAGATCTTCCTACGTGTACTTAATTATTATTATATTAAAGCAAGAACATATTTCACAAGCACATTCACATTAAACTTACTTTTGTCGTGCATTATCAAGTTCTTCTTTCAAGGTTGAATTATCCATTTGTATCTGGTCAAAAATGAATCAAAAATCAAACCAATAAGGGTACAAATAAAATAGCTCGAATGTTGTCTGAATATCTTCGTGAATAGTTAAAAATCTATAACTAAATCAAGTCAAAAAGACTGTTTTAATATCATTCCCTTAGAACTGAGATAAAAGTGGTCGGCTTTGTTTTATAAGTAGTATTTACTTCTTATCTCTAGAAATAACATAAAACAGTTGTCATACATAAATTCTAGTAAAACATGGATTCCCGTTGAGACATTTAGAAAATAAGGCGAATAAATAATTCCATTCAATTAGATTCACATCACGGCTCTGCACTAATATATATATATATATATATATATATATATATATATATATATATATATATATATATATGCTGATTAGTGAATAGCTTCAAGATGCAATTCTTGGTGTTCTACTAGGAAGCTGTGACCAGAAGAGTTTAGCCGTGTTGGCTGTGAGACAGTTCTTCACAAAAGGCAATGAAAGATAGCCGCGCAGCATCGTGAAGTGACTGAAACTACAAAATAATCTAAAGAGTGAACGTTTACATACGAGACCTGAGGTACTAGGTTAGATTCACGGATGCGTACTCTTGAGGAGTCTCATATTGGGACAGAACGGCCGTCTAATCCTTCCAGGTTTTAAACTGTGGTCTAACAAAGATCAGTTCATGATTTTAAAAAATCTTAAAATTTTATAATCTTCATAAAACCTTATACTGGTTAACATACACGTTTAACAATAATAGTAAGAGTGACACCAATTGAATAGACACGTATTAAATAATAATAGTATTTCAAATTCAAAGGTTTATTAAGTTACCAAGAATAATGAAGTGATTAAAAGATGAGCTGGATCAAGATATTAATACTCAAAGGTGTTAATAAATAAACGAATGAAGTGGAACATGAAATTTAAGGATTGATACACTGTATAAAATAATGAAGTAAAATCGATAAAATATTGATAAGTTGAAAATTAATATCAATTATATTTTCAGAATATTATTGCGTAACACACCACTAGATTGATACCGGTTTCACTATCACAATTAAAGATATATATGTAGAAATTAGTGAAGAACTCTGATCGAAACCAAATCTAAAAGAAATATTATTTCGCAGTTTCCATAGTTTTTCTGAATTTTAGCTTAGCCAATCCACGTTTCTAGTAAACAGTGAGCTGTTCATTAGTGCTAAAACACTGATGTTACAGCTCATATAAACTTAATCGATATAGGACTAGACAAATGACATTGGTCACTACAACTCAGTGATCAGTAATTTGTAAATACCTCAATCCTAGTGGAGGTTGCTGTCCGAACAACTCAATGGTAAGATCTAAGATTGTGAGGCTGGTTAGAGCGCGTTCAAATCACAAGGAGGTCGGATTCCTCATGACTGCGAGTACGTTTAAATGATGGGTAACAACCGTCGCATCTAGGTCGAGAGCTTCGTGCCGACTACCAAAAAGTTTAGGTGCATACAAACGGAAATAAGGTCAAAATACGAAAGTCTACAGGGAAAAGGTAGCAGACAAAACACGGTTATAACATTCCAAATTGTTGTTCATTGTGTATGTAAAACCACATACAAATCAAAGTTATCGGGGTTAGTCACATAACGATGTAAATCATATAAACGTCAATAACCTTAGGTAACATAATTTGACAGTCATTACTTTGTCACAAATAAACATTACCACATATTTATATAAATTATAACAAGACCATTTCTTATTACCACAAAATTTATGACCAAGTTTTTATTGATAAATATATGTTCAGCTTCTAGTATTGATATTTCCCTAAAAAACAGTAGTATTTAGCGTACTGTACGTCTACAAACAACTGATTTAGTTCATAAAGAAAAAAGCAGGAAAAGAAGGTCAGCAAAACATTAAGAAGTGATTGCATATTGTCATTATACTTCCTCCATCTATGTAAAAAATTATTCACGAAGGTAATGAATTATCAGGACTCTATTGTACTTTGTTCAGAGCAAGGATGTGGAAAAGAACCAACTGTATAGAACTATAACACTAAATGTGACATGAAACATAATAGATACAATTTAGAAGTGAAGCATATCAATTCATACATTCATGTGAATAATTGTCACAATATGTAATATATCATTCAGTCCTTTTCCAAACCTAAATTCTATTCACGGAAACACAGATATTACAACTGATGTAAGTTATTCAACTAAAACGGCCACATTACATTATGCTTGGGGGTTGATGAACGATACGTACTTGTTGAGCCCCCAAATGCCTAGGTAGGGCCGAGAGTGGGGAGAGTCAGCTCTTCCTCTTAAAAAGCTCTCACATGGCGACGTATATACAGCCAATGACAGGTAATTCCTAATCACTGCCTCCTCGTAGCGAGGGTGTTGTTTACGAAATTGAGAGGACGAAAAGCGAATGTCCGGCGCTTTAACCGGGTTGGTGGACATAGAGGATCTAACTAGGGGATTTTGAAAACACTGATTTCAAACCAGTGGTGAACATGGGCTCCAGAATCCTGAAGGAAAAAATGGCGTATGGACCAATTATCGATCACCCGCTACCATGGAATCGCATCTCCTTACGTTACTCCACTGTCTTGTGGATCAGACTTTTTGGTCGAAGGTTTCGGGTATGGCCCCCTAAGGAAACCACCTGTTTCGATCTGGACACCTGTGCAGTATCACAGCCCACTCATAAATCAAATGAGTGTATTCGGTGCCCCTCTTACCGGATATTTATGTGTCCAAATAAAATAAATAAATATAAACGTATTTGATATCAACCTTATGACCCGTCTCAATCAAATGTTTCGCAATGGATGATGATGTCTGTCTATCCTGTGGTCTTATTTCACCATTGGAATTCATCTGATTTTGCAACCATTTTGGTATATGTTCACTCACCCTTAATTGCAAATCACGATTGCTCCTCCCTACGTACGTGTTTCCGCACATACATGTAAATTTATAGACCAACTTCCTTTTCTTGACATCCTGATTACTAGGAGAGATGATGGTTCCATCAAACGTGCTACATATAGAAAACCAACTTGGACAGGACAATATCTTAATTTTCATAGTCACTGCCCTATTCATTATAAACGTGGTTTAATAAAGAGCTTATTCAATAGAATCAATCGTATTTGTACTAGTGATACTATTGAAGTAGAGATGAAGCTCCTGACTGATGCGTTATTCAATAATGGTTACCCTTTGAAGTTCATAAACCGCTGGAAGGGTTGCAATATGACTAGACCTATGATGCTTCTGGCACCCAAAAAGCGAGTTTATATTACGCTACCATTCAGAGGTGACACAAATAGTCTCATGTTGAAACAGAGACTTAAATTAGCTATCAACCGGACATTTTATGCAGCCCAACTTGTCATTATCGAAAAGACAAGGTCTATGTTTCACCAAAAGCCCAAACAGCATGAAAACGATTGTGTCACATCCCATTGTGTCTATAAATTTACATGTATGTGCGGAAACACGTACGTAGGGAGGAGCAATCGTGATTTGCAATTAAGGGTGAGTGAACATATACCAAAATGGTTGCAAAATCAGATGAATTCCAATGGTGAAATAAGACCACAGGATAGACAGACATCATCATCCATTGCGAAACATTTGATTGAGACGGGTCATAAGGTTGATATCAAATCATCATTTGTTGTGTTGTACAAAAGCCTTCAAGGACGTATACTAAGGTTTATTGAAGCCTTGGCTATACGAAAATTGAAACCCCCTTTATGTGTTCATAAACGTATTTGTTTTATCGGCAAAAAATGAACGTTTGTGTAAATAAATTTCAGCTACTTAAAAGAAACAAGTAGTAAAAACATCATAAAAATGTAGTAGTCTTCCAAAAAATTACATACGAAAAATTACGAGACATATATATATATATATCAATACTCAAACACTTTTTCGTATTAGTGAAGTAGAAGAATTATTATACGTATTACTCAGGGAAACTACTACAATGTGAGATAAATATCATTTAAAATTGTGCATTAAAACAAAATGATAAACCTAGACGAAATATTTGTGCTTTTAGCTTGAATACACAGAACAACTTACTTCGCTGGAATTTTTCAAAGTCACATTGACTCTTGTCAGCTCACTCTCAAGATCATTACGCTCACTTTCTAGTGTTTGACAATATTTTTCCAAATCTTGACGAACTTTTTCCTGTCCGGATCTGATGGAAATAAAATGAAAATGAATATTACATCACGTAAATTGTCATATTCTATCAAATTAGTTAACTAATGATAAATGAATCCTGAACAAGACGAATAAATCCAAGATATTTTGGTTTATTGGTTAACTCAGGTACAGATTTAAGCTAGTGATACTACCTGAGTGTCCATACTACAATCGGCGGAACGAAGTTCGAACGTTCAACTTAGTAATTGAAAGTCAAACATCTTAACTACTGAGCCATCAATTCCAATAACCGGCTGTATGAGTTATTTCTCTACATATTCATAATATCGTTACTAAGAAGTTTAATATATTGCCCAATATTTATAGTATTCTTTTGTAGAAGCAGAGTTGTACCTTATCATTTATGAGTAGTTACAGTATAGTACTTTGACTGACCGGGTTGTAAACTGGAACTATCCTAAAACCACTTCAGTTTTGGTCAAGCAAGTTTTCAATCATAGTACACAAACCTTGAGCTATCGCATAAACATTTTGATTCAGAATCGCTCTAACATATTCCACTGTTACAATAACCAGTAATTAAAAAATAATAACAAACAAATGAACACGGGATGAATCAATGTATTACTGTTAGGAAGATTGACTATGAGAAATACATAATGAATTATTTGATATTCTATAGAAAGTACAAATTTTGGTGAACCAAAACAAATCCAGTTTTTCTGACAAGTATCTGTAGAAATTTAACTAAATAGTCCAAGAAGAATATTAAAGCAAATAATTGTAACTACAAAAAAATATATTATTTCAATGTATTTCCTAAGCGACGAAAATGGACAGCTATAACTAAAGAAATACATATGACGAAAAATACGAACCGTGAAAGGTTTCATTATGATTAACAAAAGTATACTTTTGGTACAATTAAAGCCAACTTGACCTATCTGACAATATTGTATTTGAGAAACTGGAAGCATAATGAAAAAAACATTAACTAACACATATAATTAGAGATTTTAGAAAAAGGATGTTGATATTGGCATTTGAAGTAATAGAAATGTTATCGAATATACGATTGCAGCAGCATTCACATTGTTTAGTGCACCTTTGGTTTTAAATGATGTCTCTAATGATATTAACCCATGACTAGAGTGGTCTATCCTTAACTGAAACTAATCTCCCATAAACCGCTAAACTAGGATATGATCCTAACGTGACAAACTGAAATTAAAAGAAAATTGCGATATTTCACTAACAGGTACACTTCATTGAAGAAAACGACAAAAAATGAGGTTGGACACTCATTATCACATAAAGTGATCTCTTTGTAACAAAAAAATACACACAACATTAAATTTAATAGATCAAAGTTAGATCTCAATTGAACTTACATTTGTTCTTTTAAATCATTAATACGGTTACATAAAATTGTTGATAAATTCTCTGCATTTCCAGTTAAAGATAAATCACCTAGAACTTTAGAAATATCTTCAACTAATTGATCACGTTTCAAATGGGCACTATTTAATTCAGTAATTAATTCTTCTTGTTTTATTCTAGATTCATTCAATTCTATTTTTAATTTATTTAAATAAATTTCAACCTCATTAAGTTTATTGTTAGACTGAAATAAATAAATAAAAATTGAAGATTAATGTATTTATGTAAAGGCGATAAACTAAATATATGTCACAACATAACCCAATCTTTGTTTCTAAGTATAAAGAGGCTTGTAAAGACTCCGGAATTTTGAAGCTTTACATCATCAACTGACTGTAGCCGGACAATTAGTGAAAACCAACATTTATTTATTTATTTTATTTTAACACATAGATATTGGTACAAGAAGACACCAAATACATATGCGCCACATAAATCTCATTTGATATGTGTGAGGGCTGGGATACTGCCCGGGTTCCCAAACCGAAACAGGTGGTTTTTTTGGGGGGGGGCAACACCCAGAGCCTTCGACATGAAGATCTGATCCACAAGACAGTGGAGCAACGTAAGGAGATGCAGTCCCATGGTAGTCGGTGACCAAAGATTGGTTCATACGCCATTTTTTCCTTCAGGATCCTGGAGCCCATGTACACCATTGATTTGGAATCAGGGTTTTCCAACTCCCCTAAGTGGACTCTTCATATCCACCAATCCGGTTAAAACGACGGACATTCGCTTTTCGTCCTCTCGATTTCGTAAACAACACCCCCGCCACGAGAATGCAGTGGGCGGGACTTCCCTGACAGAGGCTAGATACGCGTGGCCGTGTGAGAGCATTTCGAGAGGGAGGGCGGACTCTCTGTCACTCTCGGCCGTACCAGAGTATTTGGAGGGCAGTGAAAACCAACACTGCAAATTTACAACATTGTGAGAGACCTGAACCTGATTTTCAATAACTATCTAGCTACAGTTAATTTGTAATGTAAACTATGATTTTGTTTTGTTTGAGTGACTTATTTGAAAATAGTGAAACGAAAAGAACTTTACATTCGATTAAGATTAGAAAGTATGTGTACGCGTATTTAAGTGTGTATGTTACAGATGATGATGAAAGAGTAAATTTGAAATCTGTAACTGTTTATATCAATCTGAAAACATTTTAAAATCATTCTATCTTACAACATTTTAATTTATTTGTAAACAACTGTACCACGTATTTAACTTCCGTATACATTACAATTGAAATTGCTTTCTTTAAAAAAGATTATTGGAAATAATCATTAGAAAGTACTTTTATGGTAGCACATCGAACTCCATTGAAACACAGGTTCCAATCGATTACGCATATTCATTAACTTGACGCATTTATATGAAGCGATGCTAATGTGGTGTATGTTACTTATGTTGACAGATACAAGAAGTATGTAGCCTCAATCGGAACTGGAACACCTGGCAGCAGAAGACTGAATTGAAGCTAACATAAAGGAAGCCAGATAGTAATCAAAATAACAACAGAACTAGAGGAATAATAGAGTAGGTAAAGGACAAATATAAAGAAACGAACTCTGATACATAGTCGCAAACCACTATTACATCAGATCAAAATGATCCCTTTAATTGGCCAAACAAAAACACATTGTATAGAGGTGAGATAAAAACTACTACACTATAGCTGAATTGTGTATAATGATTGCAATGAATTTCCATCTCTTATTCTTGTGTATATTTGTTATTAATAACAGTTTAATGATACACAAAAAAGCAACACATATATTCGCACTACAGATAAATTCAATGTAAACATCGAGCAAGCCGAGAAACTATCAATTGATCGGTATTAAATTCAAATTATTTTGACATCTAATTTGGCTAGGACATATTCGTTAAGAAACAGTATACACATTGAATGACAATTATTTACAACAACAAAAAATATATATTAACAAATACTAAACTATAAAGTTTAATTAACATACATTCTCTTTATCTTGATTCAGTGCTATAGTTTGTAGCTGAATATTAAGCAATTGATCTTTTTGTTCATTGAATAGTTCTTCTTGTACTTTAAGTTTTTCCAATAATAACTGAATAGTCTCTTGATTAGTAACAGCATCAACATCATCATTATTGATTTCGTTAATTAATTGTAAATTATTCACTTCTTCTATTTGTACAGAATGAAATGATTCGGCAGCCGATAAAACATTATTCTGTAAATTATGAATTCACCAATAAATGGATAAACAGGAACAAATTAAAAAACAGAATAATTATTGCCCTTATATATAATAATAAAACAAATTGCACACATAAAAACAATAGAAATTGAAGAGAATTATCTCAGTCAATGGAACCAATTATTTATATTTAATCAAACCAATATGCATACATATAGACATTTATTAAATATAAGCGGATTAAACTGCATGAGAGATTGACGTGCATTTAAGCAGTAACAAAAGGCAAATAAATACTTTTTTTTAAATGATTGTAGTGTTTGATAACAATCAAACAATTACAAGTGATTATTGAAATACCTCAAACTGTGAAAGAGAAAAAAGCATAATCATTTTGACAATGTTAATCAATAATAAAAAGTAATATCACATTTGGTTAAACTAATAAATACCTGATAAGAATTATTTATCAAGAGTATAAGTATTCTATCGAATCATCACAATCACAAACCATTTCATAATAGTAGTTGAGTAGAAGAATAATGCATACAATTTTCTATACAGTTATCATAACCCCAAAATATTAGAGACAAGGCAAACAATTCAATCAATCGAATCGAAGAAAAAAGAAAGATGATCTATTGTACCAGATCACACATACGTACACATTTAATCATTAGAGTGCACAAGTCGAAAAATGTTCCGTACATCACCACTATTTACGTGTGTACTTTTATAATAATAACAATAAGAAGAAATTGTCAACACACATTCACCCTGTACATAATTCACTATAGTTCATTGTAATTTATGATAATACGTAGAAAAACAAAAGACAATGCATTAATAGAAATGAAAGGAAATACTAATTTCACAGTAAAACAATGCAAAATTCTTAAGATCATTACCGTAAAAAAGTGAGAAATTAACAGATGTAGCATATATAATAGATAGGTTAAGATAGGTTAGAAGAAAGACAAATAGGATGAAGTTCCGTTTCAAATCCTCTTTTCTACACATTTAATTATTGTTTATATTTGTAGAATATCATACTCTTTTCTCAATTTAATATAAAAATATATGTATTAAGATGAATATAGATAATATTTAAGAAAAGAATACCGTGAACAAAAGTAGATAAAGTATTTGAAAGCAAGTGAAACCATATTAGTATTCAGTATTAATGATCCATTGGTGTGTATGTGCAAGTAGATGAATGCTTAAAAAAAGAATTAGTTGTCTTACTTCACATATCAAGAATGAATAATGTCATCACTACAAATAGAAAAATATTAAATAACATTCAGATATTATGGATCAGGAAATATGTGTATGTGTTATCAAATCTTGAATATATATACCGCTACATTATGCAATCACAATAATAATGAAGTAAGGAAACACAGATTGGTATATTCAGCTGTAGGACAATTTATTTATTTCAAAGGAAATTTCGCACAACTAGGTACCAAAAATAGAATGCCCTACATAAAATTTATGTGTTGACTAGAATATTACCGGGTGCCGAACCAAAGTACGTGGTTTTCTTAGGGAACAACTCCCTGAGCCTCTAGACTAGGAATCTAAACCACAAGGTAGAAAAGGAAGGTCATGTGCTTTTATCCTATGGTGACCGGTGACCACGAATGGTTTTATAAGTCACTCGTTCTTTTGGGATTCTGAAACCTATGTAGATCATTGGTTCGGAATCAGTTTTCCGACTTATCCAGCTTGACTCTTCGTATACACTACATAGGTTTAAACATAGGACGTTCACTATTCGTTCTCCTATCCACTATAGGTTAGTAGGACGTTCCTGGCAGAGGCTCTAAAAACAATACAGTATGCGAGCACTTCGAGAAGACCATTTACACTCTCGACCATATCAGGACATTTGTGGATTCTACAACTGTACGGGACAAAACATAACTAAACGTTACGATACGAACGCCAGTAGAAATGACTAAGTGACGTTTGAAACTATAGTTACTAACCCGTCACTTTACATTCAGGTAGAACTAAAAATGCTGAAAAGCTAAAATCAAGAAAACCACTGACGGGAAAGTAAAAAACACCAATGGTGTCAAACAAGACAAAACGATATTCATTTGTGCGTAATTTAGTTTACACTATGAATCCTCATAAATTCCATTAGACAGCGATATAAAAAAGATGGTACAAATTAATCAATACGACAAACTTCAATAAACAATAAATACCTTAAGAACAGATTAACAATATGTACATATAACATGAAATTTATCCAATACTGCAGATGGTGTATGGTAAAAAAAAACTAGTACACCATCATATTGTAGAAACAAGATTCTGTGGTAATTGAAACATCGGAAATAAACAGTTAAGTAAATCTGCCACATCATGATGATTGACAGCGGGGTGAAGATGAAAATAATTTACTTTTCATTAAAAAAAAGAGATTTTGTAAACAAAATGAATCATTATTTGGAAAATTGACAAACAGACAATTAGTAGACAGAAAATTCATCTTTTCAATCCATCAAAAACACTGAATAAGAGAGGACAAAATTACACTTGATAATGAAAAGCGATTAAATGGTTCTTATTGACTAGTTTAACAACAGAATAGATTATACAGTGAGGTCGTTTCGACCACATAGTACCAGGAATCAAGATATGGAGTATATAATTTTCTGTCTCACTAGCCAATGAAAGTGCTGTTTCCTACTTTACCAGAGAATGATTGGTGTGGAAACGAAGGGACAATCAAGTATGAGACATTTTGCAAATGAAGTATTTTTGTATGGTTCTCAGATTTTACTAAGTGATTCTGTAATTTTGTATTCAAATACATTCGATTGTGCCTACTGTTGTTCTCGTTCACTACACTGCATGCTAAACGGAAAATGTGACGTACTACAATTCTACTTCATAGTTCCACGGTATAATAATCGTTACGACAAAAAAGCTATTCATTACTTCTCAGTATCCAATGCTTATTTAGATGATGTCAATTCTCTAAGGAAATCATTTACAAATCAGTAAACCATTCTCCAGATTTATTTTCAACAGCAAAGAATAAGATCTTATCATTATTACACAAACAATCGATCCTATTACATGACAATTCTGGAACTTAGACGTTTTCACAATTATTACTGTTATGATTAATCTGTCAGAAATATAACAATATTAAACCAACGAATTAACAACACTTTGACGAACTTACAAGGAATTTCATTCACTCACGAGTAATTATTTTTTCTTTGGATAAATACAAAATTTTAAAAACACTGCTATCATCACTTAAAGCTTTTTTTAAAACATGGTATTTATATACATATCTAAACTTTTAAACATAAAAATTACAAATAATAAGGTGATGATATATCCGTGATATTCCAATAAGTAGACATTTAAATTTCTAACATTTCCTGACTTTATTCGAGTAAATAAATGACGAAAATAAGTATTTTCCATAAGTTTTGAAACAGGACATCAAACATCCTAGTGATGAGTTCCATATATACTTGTAATATCATCAAGATATGATTCACTATAGTTTCACAGTGTATTTGTTACTTTTAAAGTCAGTAATAAAAACATGACAATTGAAGTTGAAATGATAGAGAAAAGTGAATGGTCATTGATTCAATAGTAACCTTTATTTTCATTATTTAGGAACAATTTTCTATCAGATAGATGACACTTTAAAAAAGTGAATATTTTGTGAAGAAATGGTAAGTTTAGTTTTCTAAAAAATCAATTCGATTGGCCAGAGACAGTACCTTCCGAAGAATGTTCAGCTAGAATTTAGCCAGCATATTATCAATAGTCATATCAGTCATTTTGCCAGTGAAATGCACCATTAAAACGATTACGGTACACATATAACGAAAATAAACAAATCTGCACAAATATCCGAAACATTGAAATGTACACCAGAAAATGATCGCACTAGTAAAATTAGGGATAACTCACTTAGGTTACTAAAATGTTTGATAGTACAACATGCAGCAGGAATTTTTAAGACAAATGACAGTGATTAGCAGTGGGTTGTAGGACTTGTATTACGTTTCAGTTGGGACTTGTCATTAGGATGTATATGGAGCCCAGTGATGTTCACACTGGGACTTTAATCCAGTGCTTTTCGCTTCAAACACCAAACATGTTATCTACTTAGCTACTGAGTTCACATAAGTGGATAATGAGTTGATTTTTTGGCGTAAAATAAATGGATTTGAGTACCAGTGCAAACACCAACACTGAGATAAAGTGACATCCAGCTGATGAGTTCCAGATAAGATGAAAGGCGATTCCTAAAGTCCACGGCTAGCAACTATCAAATTTTGCTTTAAAATGCTTGTGACTTGATAGCAATATTAAGGTAATCCATTCAGGATGGACATATACTAAGAGAATAATCTATTCCAGTCCTTAGTATCAACAAACGGGAAGATGCGAACCCTTAAAATGACTTGAAGCAATAACTGTTTACGAAAGCACAAAACGATATTACAGCTATGGATACGAAAGTATTTAATGCTGAAATGTTGAGAATGAACAATATTTTAAACAAGATTTAGTCTATTCATTTTTTCACTATCCATGATGATAGCACATAACACAAAGTTTTTGACTAAATTATGGATAATTATTATACAATCATATGAAAAAAAGGAAATGACTAAATTGAATAAAAATGTACCATACTGTTATTTTAAACACTTTCCTTTATTATATCTCGTTTTTTCTAAGTTTAAAGAGTGATTATGTGTTTAATGCGAACGGATAAATTATTAAACATCATCATAATGTCTTCGTTTCTTTAAGTCTTATAGCATCGATACAACCCAGTATTGTGATATACACGTAAGAGTGGTTGCTGATACATAAAACTGTATATTAATATCCAGATAATCAAGAGATTTAGTCATCTGACTGATAATTATTGCAGGACATACCACTAAAATGAGTGATTATCCAGGTCGAACTAAGCAAATGTATTTATAAGAGTTGCTAAGAATCTTTTTAAATGTTCATAAATCAATGTAGCAAGCAGAGAAGTTGAACATTCTTTATGTCTAAAAACTATTTCAAGCCAAACCGAATACTTTGTAGTGAAACAATCTTAACATTGATGGGTTTCACTATTGTTCACTTTCCAATGTAGTATTCTTCAACGTTTATTGCTTGTTAAGCAAATGTTTATATGAAATAAGTGTGTGAGTAAATGATGAGGGATTTATTATCTAAAGCTATTTCGCATTTCTCATAAATTACAAATTCTAGTAAAGTTAGTAATTAATTATTTCAATGAAGAGTTACGCCTATAGCAGAATAAAATTCCGATATCTATTAACATAGAGTAATCCAACTTAGATGAAAGTTCTCACATTCTTTGCTAAGCGTATGTGAGTTGTGAAATAGAAGAGGTGAGAAAAGAACACTATATCAACGTATATAATAACTAAAATGTCAAGAATATTTGGCAAAAACGAAAAATATTCTACGAATGAAGAATATAATATGAAGGTTATTAGTGATGTTTTCGACATCATAAGAATAATGGTAAACTTCAAAATATTCAAGACTGAAATGAAAATTGAATTATTCTCTGTTTATATCTGTTCAATAAAAGATTCGGATGAATATCAAGAAGGAATATATGTGCACCGATATAACCTACTTTGAACAATTGTCTGAAGCAGTACTCGTTTTCCTATATGATACACACCGACAATGAGTAGGTTTGTGAACTGATGTTATATCTTCGATGGACTTAGTCCTACAATAACTTAAATAGAACGCTAGAAAGAGGCATCAGCTGAGTGTAAACGACATACGAAACACTAAGAAATTTTCTAAACAATTATTAAAAATTTCCTTGATGTAATAAATAACAATGACATAGGACAATGTATTCCATCAAATTAAAACTACGATTTATTAGCCCAATAAATAAGTATGCTAACCTTTTTTGGTGTTATTTAAAAGTTTCATCAATACAAACGACTAGTTTATACAATGAATTATAATGACCACTATTTTAGAAAAGGAAACTCAAGTTAGTGGCAAAATAATAATTTAATAAAAAGATTACGATCAAGTATTTCTTTTGTTTTAGAAAAAAGAAAGATGTAGATATTTCAAATATCATAAATGATTGATTAGTCTGTAAATGGTCGGTTGCACTCGTAAAATAATCACATATCTCTTCTAAGCTGAGTGATGATGATGATGATGAGAATGACGACGTTAATGGTAATTTAAATTTAAAAAAGACATTGCTTTTCAGTTTGTTTGAGTCAATTACAAAAAAAGGAATGTAAATGTACAAATACAGTGTTTCAGTGTTGATTACACATGGATTATAAGGTACACAATAGAATGGAAATAGTTTAGGTTAGTACAACTTATTAAAAGTAATTAAAATATCATATTGTCAGTATTCATTAATATTAAAATGATGCATAAAGCACTCTCTATAATACTCTACAATAAAAATAAAAATGAATAAAATTTACCTATGAATTGTGTAGGATTTGGTCAGTGGTTATAATTTATTTGATTCGGAAGAATATTCAATTATATTACTAAGCTTATTGAATCATTTACAAGTGGCTTGAGGTAGGAATTAATTGATTAAAATTTAATATTCAAGTACTATAAACAGCTTAACTATATACTTCATAATTTCTATGTGAATCATGAGAAAGATTCAAGTGAAAATTTCAAATAATTGACAAGGTTGAAATAGGACTGTATTCATTTTATAAATAAACAATGAAACTATTTCAATGCTAACAACAAACGATTTCATTAGTAGAAAAGCAAATAAACAAATAAACAACGTGTACAGTAATTTGAAAAGTACTCTACAATACATTTCATTTACCTGATAATCAGTTAACTCTTGCATAGTTTTATTTTGTTGGTCTTTTAGTTTGTTCAAATTTTCACTGGTCATCTGGGACTGATTAGAAGATGAAGTTGATTTAGTTTTCTCTGCTTCTAATAAGTGATTCTATATACATAAGTAACAAAATATATTTAACGACTTATATATATATATATATACTAGTCGATCAGTCAAAACGTAGAACATGGTACACATGTACATCAGTCCAAGTTACCATACATTATTAGCAATGAGAGATTGAAAGTTTCAAGCCAAATCTCGGAATAGTAGAGGTAGTAACAGTATCAGTGGTAATATAAAAGATTAGGCATCAAAGATACAATTTTTAAAAAATTTATAAATTACTAAAATAAAAACAAAATTCATGAGGAATTTAGAATCTCAGAATTTGGTAGATGACAAAAATGGACGCATCTGCTCCGTTGCTGTTGATTTCGAGCCATTTTATCCAAATCAATTGACTTGTGTGACGCATATGTATTCCGTGCCCTTTTGTATTAATATTTACGTGTTTAAATAAATAATAAATAATAAATACATAGAAAAAAACCGTCTAGACCAAAATAACATTACATTGACATGACTAGACCTATTTCAATTTTGATTGTACTAAAAATACTCTGCTTCATATTTTTTGTACAAATAAACTTGTATTAATCAAATTCGGTTATTTTTATTCTCTGAAGAAGGAGTTTGCACTAAGTCACGAAACGTCAGAAATTTAACGTTTTACTTATTGGAAATTTATATATTATTTTTATTACAACTAAAACCTCTAAATAATGAACTGCTTCCTAAATGTCGGATGTAATCAACAGACACTAGACTTATTTACAAAGTCCAAGTTTATATACATGGGCGTGAGTTATACTTTGTGTATGGGTCAGTCACGCTCCCTGACTGCTCCAACCCATGCAAATTCAACCATTTCATTCTGAAAGGTATTCAAAGACACCACAACAAATAGATAATGGTGTAAAAACAATCGCAAGATTATATGTATTTTGGTTGTTTGCATCTCCCTAGCGATGGTTAGGACTGAAAATGATCAATCACTTTTAGTATGTGGATCCTATGCGGACTGCCTCAATATTGGCGTTAAGCCACGAATATTTTAGACAGATGTGGATATTGCTTGGCAGTATAATCCAGGACGAGAGTTTCGTCCTATTGCAGTCCTAAATATTGATGGGAAGATCCAAAAAGCCAATACATATAAATTAAAATTCACTTCACTACACAAGTAAGTAAATATCTGGACTCAGTAACAATCAGGTAACAATAAATAACATCTAGCCCAAAGGATAGAACGACGAAAGAAAACAAACCGAACATCATTTACAAGATAAATTGCAGCAATTCTAACGCAAACACTATGTGGGACAAAGTGGCTGCTCTCTCCGTCTACCTTTACATGAACAGCAATTAACAGTTAAACACTACAAAATAGCTTCACTTATATCAACGCAGGTGGACAATTACGGACATGGAATTAATCAAGGGAAGGTCGGAAAATTGAACAAATAAAACAAAAAGAAAGTTAAACTTTAGAAGCGTGGCACTCTAGTCCAGTAACGATCAATAGGGATATCAAAACTGGTCAAAGCTATCAGACAATAAGAAAAAGGAGTCACAACAAGAAGGTTAGAGATCAAGTTAGGAGAGAAAACAAGCAATACAAACAACGACTACTTAGTCATGAACAACACTCAGCCAAATCCCAGGTCAACAGAACAAGCCGTCAGTCAATAATGACGAGATCCTGATAGATCACTTCTATCTAAAATAAGTACCAACGATGCCAAGGATAACTGACTGACTGACGTTGGGCAAAATGTTTCAGAATTAGTCACAGTGGAATTCTATATCTTGAATTCCAATATCCCTTCAAACATACCTTTCCGTCATTTCTTTTCGAATCATATTCTCAATGTGGCCTTTCACATGATCACTACTACAATATTATTCCGATTCATCTGCTACTCATTTAGGTCATTTCATGTTGTTGTGCTGAATTAGTCCAGAAATCATGCTAACGCACATTTTTCCAAGGCTCAACACTGTTTATAACTGATTAACACTGAGTCACAAGGGTTTGAATTTCATGGACAGCATCAGCTCCCTCTTAAACATATACGCGCCTTGGTGACCAGTCTCAATTAGTATAAAACTTGGATCCCGAGCATCCTGTTGACTGCCTCTAACCACGTAACATAGACAAAACCTTAAATAAATAATACTTTTAAAACATACTTACCAACTCTTTAATCCGATTTTCAAACATGCATAATTTTTCATTAGCAATTTTTTCTTGTTCTGTCAGTTGTTTATTTAATTGATCAATTTGACTCTTTAAACTTAGGACTAGTTCATTATTCTGTTGTTTCAGTAAATTATTCTCGTTTTTGAATGCTTGAATTTCACTAAAATAAGGAAACAGACCAGTTGTAAAAAGTGTGAATCAATTCTTATTATGAAACGTTATAAGTCAGATAAACGTTGAAAGTCATATATTACTGAATAACATATATAAAGGTCGAAATAACTGGTGTAGTTTAATTTATTACGTGGAATAATCAAGTTGTGTAGTGAACTGACGACGGAAAACACTAACAAATAAATGGCAGTTTAATAATAACAATATGCATAGTCAAAGATAAAAAAATAACATTCACGTTTTATGTTTAAATCGTATTCTTTGCCCAGATGACTTCAATGGAATGGTGTGAGGTAGTTGGCTGTAGCTGAGATGAAAACCTGGACATACGTTTTGCGATATTGAGAGTTCTTCAGTAATGTGTATTTGTAATCGTCAGGGAACCGGTGTTCCCTAGCGGACTTAGTCATCTAGCTTCATAATCTGAGACCTTATCATTGAACTATTCGTGCAGCGACTAAAGTCCTGACAAATTTTTACGGCTGATCAGCCATTAAGTAGCTATTGATGTCATGTCTGTCTAGTTTTTTAGTGTCAATCGAATTCCCGACCGTTGTTGCCACCTTGATGTGGTGGTCGTGCTTACCTATCGTGATGAAGCAACCGAGCTATATTGGCTGGAACAACTGTTCCTCAAAGTTCTACCATGTCAGACAGGTCGGTTGAAGAGCGGTAAGACTAAAAGCAATAAACCCAAGGTCCAAAGGAGAAGTCATACTGCTGACTGTACAGAGGTGTGACAACAGTAAGGTGTTTCCTTCAGAGAACCAGCATGACAGTGATGCTGCCTTCCCACAAGGAGGGGTGGGGTTAGGAAAGATCCACCCTAAAAATACACACCTCGCCTTATCCCACGGATATCCGTCTCCGGAGGTAAGGTCTCAACGAGTACGGAGCTAACACAGAAATTACTCATAAAAAGTCGTGTGTGACCGACCTCAAGCAGTTGTCCCTTGGGCACTGCGGTCACGCTCTCGGGTCACCAAGATCACCTCTAATTCAATTTCCTTTTCAGGTACCTCCAGAACAACCCTTCCACGGTGTGGGCAACCGGGAAGTGATAACCGCCCTCATACCTCTAACAGAACTCAAGACGATCGAATTCTATCAATCGAGTTGCGACGCGGTCACTAGTTTAGGTGGCTGGGCTTAACGTACACAAGTGTCCAGAAGAAATTCAATCGAAATACCCACAGATCTCCACAAATCACAGTCAGTCAGATTGAAATTGGGGTAAAGTAAAAATATGAGGCAATCTAAGATTCCATACAATTTCAACATTGCAATGAGAAGTTGACGTAATGAAAAGAAAGAGTCGAAACCTAATAACTAATTTTAATTCCAAATATTAATAAAGAACTATTTGTTGCGTCATGTTATATAATAATATTACGATTGAGGTTAGGGATTGAAGTTAACTAAACAGTAGGAAAGTATGGTGAAAATGAGCGAGGATTACAGGTCATCACTAATTTAAAGGGAAGAGAGTAGGGAAAAACTAATCATTTAATGTTATAGAAATAAACATTTACCTAACGGTAGCTTGGTCAAACATTCAGCCCCCTCCCTTATTTTTCAGCTGCACAAATATTTCAAGTAAACTGCCTACTTATGATTTGTTTGAACTGAAAATTTATGAAAGCTGTATGTACTTACGAGTTATTATGAAATAACTACAAATTATTGTTAGTGTAAGTACTGGAAAACTCAGACAGAAACACCAGCTATTGGCACATCTCCTTTATGATTTATTCATTGACAAAACGAGAGACAAGAATCTAAGAATTCAAGTGTTTTATATATGATAAATGGAGAAATCTATATATTGGCTGACACTTGTAATAGAACATCGACTGTTGAAAACACTTTTAAAATATGCTTTAAATAATGGCGATTTGAATAAATGTTAAGGAGATTATTTATTGCAATATTGTGTGATTGGTGATGAGAATTCTTCGTTGTTCCAAAATTCATAGTATCAAATCGAACGATTACTACTGCTGTTAAAATCTTTTTAAAATAACTTGGTAAATCACAGGGATAAGACAAACATACTTTGAAGAGTTCTGCAACTGACAATTTAATTTTTCAACTTGTCCATTAAACTCAACCGTTAATGACTCAATTGTTTCAGCTTGATGCTTTAGCATAATTTCTGCTTCAGCCTGACGCTCAGCCAACAAATTGCGCAACCGTTCACATTCATTTTGGAAAGACTCGCCTTCGTTTTCAGTTGGAGTAATAGATGTCTCAGATACAAGCCCAGTGAATTGGAGAGATGGTTTTCCCTACATGTATGAATTGAAAATATATAATATGAAGACTGGAAAACATAATTGCAGTGACAAAAACTGACAAAAACAATATTATCACAACTACAATTTATGTCAACTGGTTGACTGATAGAATGAAGAACATCATGAAATAATATGGAAACTCAAAATGTTTAACATTTGAGTAACGTAAGAATAAACAACACGATCACCCAAGGAATAAAATGCTTGAGATGAACCAGTAGGAAAGAAATAACCGATCGTGAAGCAATGGGACTTATGATATGGAGTCACTTATCTTTAATAACCAAGTAAAGTACATCGTATAATCGACATCTTTTTACATGACCATATCAAAACCTACAACTTTATTGATTTATGTCATTTTCTCTTCTGTCAATGGAACTTTACAACACTCATAAAGAAATTTTACCTCAAATAAAACAAGGTTCAACAACGCACAAGCAATTTGGAGAACATGAAGAAAGGAAACATATTTTTACATCTCCTACTCTTAAATGCTGTTACGTCATAAAGTAAAAAAAAAGTAGGCTAATGAAATTTGAAGAGAACATGATAAATAACATACATCGTTTGCATAAAAGTAATCTATATTTAACCGTCTCTTAAATTAATTGCAGTTCTGTACCATAAGTGAAGTAGTGAATATACACATTTAAATGTTTATGAACCTAGAGATTATCTTATACACTTCGATTAATTTGTGTATTGATAGGCATGAACGCAAAAATACTAATCGTCATTATCATGTTGTGTATACTAAAATCATAAACAATGAATATTCTGTCACGAAAATCAGTGTGTTCAATTCAAAAATAAATCTCATCCTATTACTATTCTGGAAGTATCTCATCAATATGCGCGACACAAAAAGATAGAGACAAAAGTAAATAAACGAGAGAGGAGGAGAAAGGTGACAGAAATTTTTGCTCATTTACTTTAAGGTAGGAAGAAGTTCAGCTAGATTCGTGATTATGTAATGGTACATGGATTAATACACCACAAAAAAACAATACTCAGTAGTTGAGAACAAAGTGAACAGTCTCGAGTGAAATGCATACTCTGAATTGAAATAGGTGAAAAGATCTTTTGAGAGAGTAAAAGTGAATGAAACCGTTGAATTCATAATTATTTTGACAAGAACAACTTTAATTTTCTAGCATGTGACGGTTAAATCTTAATGAACGCCATGTTTGACATTTCCTTAAACTATTTGATGCTTTCAGACTCATCGGACAAGTGGCTTTTTATACTAACATGACATAACCTACTGATAAACAAAGCAAAATTTGTATTTTTATCAGAGAAAATAAGATGATACCACCAATAATATCAAGCCATAGACTATATGTAAGAACAGAACATAATGATCTGTATAACTGTTGACAGATCCTGCTTCGGTTTGGGCGCCCGGGCAGTATTCCAGCCCTTACATAAATCGAATGACAAAGTGTGGCGCATATATATTTGGTACCTCCTTGTACCAATGTTTATGTTTAAATAAATAAATAAAATGTTGACAGATAATATTTCATTAGCACTCAACTACAAACTATAAGCAATGTTGATATTATTGTAAAGCGAAATATTTAAATGCAAATGTTCATATCGATAACTATTGGGGATAAAACTGTACGACAAAAAAACAACTTCCAATGTTTAGTTCACTTGCCTGAATTTGAGATTTGTTTTCATCACTTTGATTTGACACATTCGTTTGTTTTTGTAAAAGATCATTTAATTCTACTCGTAATTTATTTAATTCTAATTCCATACGTTCATTCGTTTCACGAGCTGACATTAAAGCTTCTTCCAGTTCAAATATTTTTGATTCATCGTCTGCATTCTGTGATTCAGTCGTGCTCTTGTCAATGTTTTCTTCTTCTATTCGAAATTGTAAATCTTCAAGATTTCTATTAAAATTTTAATGAATATATTAAAAATAAAACAATAAATAGTTACACTTAGTTATGAAGAGTTTTATTAAACAGCCAAGTATGACAAGATATAAACCTTTTTTGGTGTTAAAAACTCCAGATCAAAGTTTCGTGTTAAATGTCTTACACCACTAAAACATACCCGTAATCTTAAACGAACTGATGTTCTTAATATGCCTTGATATCAACTGGAGCAAATGAATAAACATGAAAACTTACCAGTACAGACAGGTAGAAGGCCGAGAGAGTCCAGAGAGAATACATGCTGAAGTAAATATACACGGTAAGTGAGAAATAAACGTGAGTTGTTTTTTTTTAAATTCTCGTTGACCGCTCACATTTGTATCTAGATCCATTCACTGTTTTGCATATATACTTATGATTTATGAGTGGAGTGGCGGCTTAATGGTTAAGACGTTTAAATTTCCACTGCTAAGTTCCAGGCTTGAGCCTCATTCCATTCACTTCGGTTTAAAGCAACTGGGCAACCCTCACTAGCTCATACCAAAGTACCTGGTGAATGAATCAATTACATTTATATTGTCACAACTTATGTGCATATTTATTCACCCTGTAGTATAAGGATTCTATGTATTTTTAGTCTTGTTTTGACTAGCTAGTTGAGCAGACAGCAGGAAGCGCGTATTGTAGTCGAATATGACCACAAAACACTTTTTCCACTCAAACACAAAATATTTGCATATGATAATTCAAACGTTCCAATAAATAGAAAGTATATTAATTTAGAAGTGTGATGAAAAAGAAACATATACAGGACAACAATGAAGAGTAAAAAATCAGATCATAAGTGAATAAATAATTGAGTTATGTTGCATGAATTAGTTATACATAATAGACTTTAAGGTCAAATTGTACAATGAATATCACACTTGTTTACTGAATAAGGTTGGGCTGTATTCTGAACTTCTCAAGGACAAAGTTAATTAGGCATAGTAGAGAAAAAGGTAAATTAACTATATATATATATATATATATATATATATATATATATATATATATATATATATATATATATATATATATATAGCTGCTTCGGCCGATTGATTCATCTGAAGGGTGTTTACACCATGAACTGAATTCAGCAGGACAATCATTGAAAACTAAGAAGCTATACCATTTTTATCTAATGTTAATCAGTAGAGCGCACCCGTGAAGCTACCTAAAAAAGGGAGCCAGGACCTTTAGGCTTATTTTCCAGAGCGTTACTGTAATACCTCCAAGTTGGTATCCAATGGATCACGTAAATGCATCATGTATAAACCAAATCTAGTGTCGACTACTGACTTACTAATTATGTCAAGCAAATATCAAGAGAAGAAAACGATATCATATGAATCTATCTCTCTTGTAAAGTTATAATTTTGTTTCAATCGAATGGATTGTATTTTTAATAATCGTAATTTTCTGTTCACTTCACTACATGAACGCTTATTTCAAGCTTCGATATACTTTGTCATTTTCTTAATCGAAACACCAAAACTTTGTTTTAATTATGATAACTAATTCTAGCAATTTACTAAATATTTTTAATTTGATTTTCAGCATGCATAAACTTCCTCAAACTATCTCTACGTTTAATTAAAAGAACTTTTGATACATTAAATTTGTATGATGTTTTTTAAATATTATCTGTTGCAAGTAGCTGATGGCAACCGATTGGACTGAAAAGAATTCATTTCAGTTAACGTCGTTATTTTTGTAGACTGTCAACTGCATATAGTCATAAATCCTCAGTAATAAATATGAAATATACGTCTTAAATTCAAAATTATACATAGTCCTCGTTCAATACTACATCAATATCCGTAGTGAAAAGTTAAATTGAGCGAAGAAATTTATAAATCAAGTTATTAGCGCTCAGAACCCTCAATAATCCCTTGATAAAAAACTTTAAAAGTCGTAAGATTGGAGAGAATACTTTGACCAATCAGTGTTTATTAAGAAATTCCAAGAGAATTCAAGACAACAGAATATTGTGTTATATCTTCAGTTTGTCACTGATTTTAGCACATTTTCGAGAAGCTTCCAGAAGCTTAGGGTTGTGAACTATATATAACAACCTTGGAAGTTAAACTGCTTTCATAGTTTTCGTTTATTGTTTTCCTGTTTGAAATTCAGAAGTAAAAGGTTTCTGGATAGCGGTTAGGAAGTCTATGTCTAAGTGTCTAAGTACTAGGCATAAAAATTTGTACACAAAATTTATACTCAAAGATGACAATCACATAACTGTCTACTTGAACGTTATGTATAAAATACTTATGGGAATTCATGTTTGCTAACGATGACCTGATGTTTGTGAAGCTGAATACAAGAAAACACAGATTCAAGAACACCATTTACAGTCAACAGTACTACGTCATATATCGATTTAAAGTAACAGAAAAACGAATCTGAGAGATAAATAACTCAAACAAAGAAGTTCAACTAACTACATGGTGAAAGTATGCACATATGGAATTAGAAGAACCTTACATGAAAAAAACCATATGCAACCATTTATGAGTTCAACAAGGCTGCTCTGTTAATAGTAAGAATAGATGAAGATAATCGGACAGGTGATCAGATATGTAAATATTCTTATTCTAGTTCAACTTAGAAAACTATATGTTGAGTAAAAATGGAGTGTTAGACGCAATTCGGTTAAAAAGAACATATATCATCAATTTAGCAAGTCATTAATTGCTAATTTAAATTATCCAAAGGACAAATAACGTTTCTACTTAGATTTCACAAGACACCATTAATCAGTAGATAGATGACGGAAAATATTTAAAGTCTGTTCCCCAATATAAATGTTGAAAATTGAACTCAATCTTCATATTTACTTGGTTTTATGCTTTCTTTCATCGTCTTTCAACTTCATCACACTATTTTTGATATCACTATTTCTATTTCATTCTCTTTATTTAAGGTAGCTATGACGACGTTAATTGTAGCTATTTGGATTAGTACACATCATTGTATTTTTTTGTTTTATTTTGAAATATGAATTTTCCATTATAACTGGATAATATATATACCAATGTTTTGAATAAACTTGATTTTATAGAATAAATAAATAGAAATTATTAAAATATAATTAACAAAAGAACACATCCGAGAGATTTCTCACTTTCGTTCTTCATGTAGCTTAATTGTTGTTTGCTCATGTTCATCGCGTAAATGTTGAAGAACAGCTTCCATATTTTCTAATTGTTGGTTCAATTGCTGTATCACAGCTTGCTGATTCAATGTTTCAGCTTGAGCCTTTACAAATATGATTTGTTTATTATTAAAAAACGAGAAAAAAACACCGGTCAATTTAGTAAAATTAATTAAAATGATAATACGTGATAAGTTCAGCGATTTATCATAGCAGTGGTGGTAGTTCTAAAAAGATTAGGACAATGTATGAATGTCTAAATCATTTTTAAGTCGATACCAAATATAATGCGCAAAATTGTATAAGCAATCAGTCAGTCAGTAACAACGTAGAACTTCGTACGTACGTACATCAGTTCGAGTTGTCACACCACATTAGCACAGAGATGCAGTTGTCGATTCCAAACCCGTAGTGGTAGAGGTAATAAGAGTATAAGCAGTAATCCGAAAGATTAGGGTTTGGAGATGTTATTCAAGGAGTATAATCCAGTGAAATAAATTTGGAAAGAGGAAAAAAGGGACATGAAGAATTCAGAAGATTAGAATTTGGGAGAACACAGAGAGTGTATGCACCTGCGCCATTGCAAACGATTTTGAGCCATGTCATTCAAGGTCTCTAACCATCGGTTGCTATCATCTCGCGGTCCACAACCAGGTAGTCTGCACCTACCAACATGACTCAGTTCACTTGTCAGTGACCTCATGGACTTGTGCCATGTTTTGGTTTGGCCGCCACTAGCTTTCTTCCAACCTACTCCTATACCACTGAACATAGCACGTCGAGGCAGTCGGTGGTTGGGCATACGTAACACGTGTCCCAGCCATCTCAACTGATGAAGTTTCACTACTTCATCAATTGATTTGCCATCCTTACCTAGTACCTGTTTCCTAACAACTGTGTTACTTACTCGATGGTCCCATGATATACGAGCAATGTTTCGAAGACACCTATGATCAAATACTAGTAGCCTACGGATATCCTCCTACGTGTAGTTTAGAGCGTGGTTTCAGGAGACCAGGAATGGCGTTCCACGTACTCGAATCGTTTGCCATAGCGGTGCGAGGTGATAAAGAGACGTGGGGAGGGTTAGTCGGGGAGATAAGAGAGATATTAGAAGGCGTAGGAAGGATTTGAATGTGACCACCTTGGTCTCTTGTGCTGTTACGGGTATGAGGGCTGATGTCACTTCCCGGCTGCCCACACCGTGGAAGGGTATTTCTTGAGGAACCTGAAAAGCAAATTGGATTAGTGTTGGTCTTGACGACCTGGGAGCGTGACCGCAGAGCCCAAGGGACAACTGCTTGAGGCCGGTCGCGCACGGCCTTTTTGTGGAAGGTTTTTGACGTGTTAGCTCTGTTCTTCAAAGGGCCTTACCGCCGGAGACGGAAATCCGTGATGTAAGGTGAGGTGTGACATTTTTAGGGTCGACCTTTTCTAACCCCACCCCTCCTTGTGGGAAGGCAGCATCGCTGTCATGCTGGATGTCCGAGGGAAACACCTTACTGCTGTCACACCCCTCTACAGTCAGAAGTACGACTTCGCCCTCAGACCTTGAGTTGCTGCTTTTAGTCTTACCGTTCACCAATCGACCTGCCTGGCATGGTAGAACCTGCAGGAACATATGTTCCAGCCAATATAGCTCGGTTGGGTCATCACGATAGGCAAGCCCGACCACCGCGTCAAGGTAGCAGCTTCGATCGGGTGTATAAGCAATAATGCTTGTTAAGACAAAACTTGTAGAAACAGGTACAAGTTGAGAAAAGATATTTTAAAGTATTAAGTAATCACCCGAGCAATTTGGTGAATTAACCACAATTACTTATTTCCTTAGATATACAAAATAAGTGATAACATTCACGCCCATTGATCACACTTATAAATGCTGTAATCAGTGTTACTGAGTAACTTGAAGATCACTAACTATATTATTACCGCATACTATTTGCATAGGTGCATATATGTGATAAATCTTCTAAATGAACGCTTGAATCGGTTTGCTAGGCTTTTCTAATAACCCCAGGTTAAAAAGTACTAGTTAAACTAATGTTAATTTATTTCGGTCACTTATTTACTCTGAAGAAGTGGCTGACATTAAGTCACGAAACGTCAGAAATGCACTTCATCTACTCATTAGGATATAACAGAAATATTCACTAATAAATACATCCTATATTTCCATTTAAAGAATATGTAGCTTACATACTTTACACCACAGCAGTAGTAATTGTACAAGACTAGTAGGACCTTGTGTCTGTTCGTGAATTTATGACATGGTGCCACTGAATAGAAAACAATTCTGTGGTGTTAATATATATATATATATATATATATATATATATATATATATATATATATATATATATGTAAACTGCCTGAATGGGATCTTAAGGATTCTGCAAGTTGGTAGATTGAAACGTTATCAAACAAGGTTCCTAATAAAAGCCATTGATGATCCTATTGCAGTTTTCTGTTATAACCGGACGAAATTTACGACGATTTCTTTTTTACTTTAAAGTTGATTTTTTTAAACACTATTTTTTCTTGTTTCTTTCTACAATATCGTCATCTTTTACTCACTGATATCATTTTCACTTTATTCGCCCCCTGAATGCCCTGGTACGGCCGAGAGTCCGCTCTCCCTCTCGAAATACTCTCACACGGCCACGCGTATACAGCCTCTGCCAGGGAAGTCCTACTCATTGCCTTCTCGTGGCGGGGGTGTTGTTTACGAAAATGAGAGGACGAAAAGCGAATGTCCGGCGCTTTAACCGGATTCCAAACCAATGGTGCACATGGGCTCCAGTATCCTGCGGGAACGAATGGCGTATGAACCAATCGTTGGTCACCGGCTACCATGGGACTGCATCTCCTTACGATGCTCCACTGCCTTGTGGGTTAGACCTTTAGGTCAAAGGCTCGGGGAGTGGCCCCCTAAGATAACCACCTGCTTCGGTTTGGGCACCCGGGCAGTATCACAGCCCACACACAAATGATGAACGCTTTATGTCTATGGAAACTACTTTTGTCGCTTTGAAAAACAATCAATTGATTCAAATTATGATCACTACAATTATTGTCATTATTAATACTAATATTATTATTACTACTATTATTGTCATTATTGTTATTATTATCATTATTATTATTATTTTCCACATTATTCACCTTCTTTTATACTTATACAGCGGCTCGTCTTTGGTGGAATTCCGACTGTATCTAAACGTTCTCGAGTCACTGTCCGGTTGAAAATTGTATGTTACCACCGAATACGAGGACTGAAGCAGATTTTCTGAAACCACGTGCATCATTCAAACTGGCTGCCTTCAACGTTCGCACATTTATGCAGGTCGGACAACAGATAGGGCTGGCTATGTCTTTGGAAAGTCTTAATATCGACGTGTGTTGTCTATCCGAGACCCGTATTCAAGACTCTGGCGAAGTACTACAAATTCGATCTCCATCTGTCGCTTCGAAAAGCTTGTTTTACGTGCGCTTATCCGGGGACCCTGTAGCATCTTCGTCTGGTTTTGCTGGCGTTGGTGTCGCACTAAGCGCTCGAGCTGAGGCAGCACTAGTCGATTGGATCCCCATTAACAGTCGGTTATGTGCTGTTAGATTAGAAAGTTCCATCAAAGTGAGAAGAAATCGGCGTGAGAAACGATGTCTTTTCGTCATCTCCGCCTATGCCCCGACAGATTGCAGCCCGGATGCAATCAAGGATGAGTTTTACCACCAGTTATCTGTTCTTCTCCAGAAAGTGCGTTCGACAGATATTGTAGTACTAGCCGGAGACTTGAATGCTCAGGTCGGGCGTCTAGGCACAGAAGAGAGTCGTTTAGGTGGCCGATGGGGACTCGTTGGTCGCAGGTCAGATAACGGGGACCGTCTACTGCAACTTTGCACAGACCACAACCTGTTTCTGGCTAGCACTAACTTTCGGCACAGTCATCGCCGATCTGCCACCTGGCGTCCTCCCTCTGCATCTCAAGCCTGGACTCAGATTGATCACATCGCGATCAGCTACCGCTGGCGTGGTTGTGTACAAGACTGCCGCTCCTTTTGGAGTACCTATCTGGACTCTGACCATGTCTTGGTCTGCGCCAATCTTGCCTTACTTTTCAGTGGACAACGAAGTGAACGCCATCAACGGATTGATGTTAGCAAGCTGGTTGCAACTCCTGTTGCAAGTAAGTATCGAACCGAGCTACGTTCTAGGCTAGCTACCACTCCACCGAAAAGTATAGATGAGCGTTGGTTGCAATTGCATGACGCCATGAAAATGGCGGGAACAGTCAGTTGTGGGTTTGCGAAACGTCCCGCTTTTCAGCACTGGGTTTCTGCAGGTTCCTTACAACTCATTGAAGCCCGTCGGTCTACTCCGGGTGACCGTGAGTTTGACCATAAACGAAGGATGTTACGTAAGGAAATCGGGCAAAGCTTGCGTAAGGACCGAGAAGCCTGGTGGTCGATGCGTGCTAATGAGCTGGAAGCAGCAGCTGCATCTGGTAACTACCGGAAGCTCTTCCAACTCATCCGAGCCACTGGCAGCAAGAAGTCTGGTGTGAGTGAAACAATCTGCGAGGATGATGGGATGCCAATCACTAACATCCATCGACGTCTTGGACGATGGGCAGAATTTTTCGAAGGGAAGTTCAACTGGCCTGCTGCTCCGGCAACATCGGTCAGACTGTCCTGCCCTCCATGGCCGGTGACGACTGATCCACCAAATGAGGAGGAAGTCCGCAAGGAACTCCAACTCTTGAAGCGTTACAAATCACCTGGCCCAGATGACTTACCTCCGGCTCTTTTTAAAGATGGTGGTGACTTTTTGACTAAGGAATTGACGACGTTGTTTACAAAGGTTTGGGAACTAGAGAGTGTACCAACGTCATGGAATGAGTCGATAGTTGTCCCTATCTTTAAAAAGGGTTCACGTCGTTCTTGTAACAACTATCGGGGGATAAGTTTACTTCCGATTGCGTCCAAGCTATTGGCTTCCGTCATTCTTCGTAGGTTGTTCAAAACCCGATAAAGATCGACTCGCGAGGAGCAGGCTGGGTTTCGTTCTGGTCGAGGATGTATTGATCATATCTTCACCCTCCGCCAAATGTTAGAACACCGCCATACTTTTCAAAGGCCAACAATCGTAGTGTTTCTTGACATCAGGGCTGCCTTCGATTCGTTGGATAGGACTGTTCTCTGGGATTGTCTATTGAAGAAGGGTGTGCCTGAGAAGTTTATTAACATCCTAAAAGCCCTGTATAAAAACACCTCAGGCAGAGTGAGGGCATACAACCACCTCTCTCCATTGTTCCATTCGAGCAGTGGGGTTAGGCAGGGTTGCCCAATCTCACCATTCCTCTTCAACTTTGCCATCGATGACATTCTGGAAACAGCTCTGATGAATGTAAGTAATGGTGGTGTGGATCTGTTGCCTGGAGAAAGACTTCTCGACCTTGAGTATGCGGACGATATTGTCTTACTGTGCGATAATGCCCCAGGCATGCAATCCGCACTTAATCAGTTGGCAATCAATGTCCGTAGGTATGGTATGTGCTTTGCACCTTCGAAGTGCAAAGTACTTCTACAAGACTGGCAGGATTCTAATCCTGTACTCACCCTGGATGGTGAGCAGATAGACGTAGTTGAGAAGTTCGTGTATCTGGGTAGCTGCATAAGTGCTGGTGGGGGTGTGAGTGATGAGATCAATGCACGAATAGTGAAAGCCAGAGCGGCTTATGCCAATCTGGGCCACCTTTGGCGCCTTCGTGATGTTAGTCTGGCTGTAAAAGGCCGGATCTACAACGCGTCGGTGAGAGCAGTTTTGCTCTATGCTTGTGAAACCTGGCCTTTCCGAGTTGAGGACGTTAGACGACTCTCTGTGTTCGATCATCGCTGTCTCCGAAGGATTGCTGACATTCAGTGGCAACACCATGTCAGTAATGCAGAGGTTCGGCATCGTGTGTTCGGGCACAGAGATGATAACTCAATTGGTGTCACCATCTTGAAACACCGACTTCGGTGGCTTGGACATGTTCTCCGAATGTCGTCCCAGAGAATTCCACGTCGTGCATTATTTGCCGACTCTGGGACTGGTTGGAAGAAGCGGAGAGGTGGTCAGTGCATGACATGGTGTCGTGGCATGAAAGAAAGCTGCAAAGGACTGGCTTGTGTTGGTCCTTCACGACTCCCTGGCTGGGGTCCGAGAGATGGTGCTACACAGTGGCTAGAGACGTTATCAGATATGGCTCAGAATAGAAGCCAGTGGCGATCCTGCTGTAACCTTCTTTTACTTTCTTCATAAAAAGTGGTTGTGTCTCCTTTACCTGAAAGATTTCTTCTGATTGTACCTCTTCGTCATTACTCTCTTTTTCTTTTGCGTTCCTTAGTTTTTTTTTTCTTTTTACTTCTCTTCGAATTCCCATTGTTTTGTGTGGCGCATATATATTGGCGCTCTCTTGTACCAATATTTATGTGTTCAAATAAATAAATAAATAAAATAAATAATTTTCACTTTATTCTACTTGATGTACATCCTTTTTTATTGTACTAAGCTTATTATATGCTATAAATTACAAAAATATTATTAATACTTCTACTGATTGTTAGTAAAGATTGAATTATCTATGAAATAATGGTCTTGGGTTCAATTCCTGGAAAACTTGTGGTTGTTCACTAGTGGGAAGTCCCATATTAAGATGAGACAATTATCAAGTGTTCTATCCTTATCAATAGCGTTTTAGCTGAGATCAGTCTATGACGATACTACCTATAAATTAAATTAATCAATACAAAACCCCTTTACTTAATTAAGAAGTTTCACAGGTTGAAATCATGAGTCAGTTGAAGCTAGACCGCTATTGAAAACCTGGAAGCACTGGACGGCCGTTTCGTCCTGGTATGGGACTCCTCAGCAGTGCGCATCCACTGTTTCATTTTTTCTTTAGATTCATTATACAGTCTCGATTCGAAAACATACATAAATATACTGCATGGAGTAAATAAAGTTATGCGTATATGTGAGAAGTGTACTGAACGATATCAACTCTTCAGCTGGTTTTTTATGTATAAGTGAAATGAATACAACAGAATAATAACTTATTCAATGTTTGTTTCTATTGTCTTTAATAAAAAAATAAGTTACTTTTCTAATATTTGAGGACGACCACTAATTTCTCCAAGTAATAATTGAATTGTTGCTTGGTTAAGTAGTAAGACCTTATGTATAAAAACTACGGCGAGACCATAATTTACAGACTAATAAACGTAATTAAGGATATCAGATCTTGGATTTTGGCGCAAAATTCATTCATCCATACAGTTAAATAGCATCATAGTTGATGTCTGTTCGTGATGAAAACCCTTGCTTTAATTCCTAACACTAAATTTTAACTCTAAATCTTAATCCTAAATCCTCACACTAATTTATAACCCTCTTTTGATCCTACTAAGTAGGTGAATTGTCTCATGGCTACTTTATCGTCGCTCAGAGGTCGACCATAAATTACAGTCTCAACAAAATTACTATTAAATATCTAGTTTGAGTACATTACGTTAACTGTTGAGAAAAAGTTTGACTAAAAAAATTAATTGATTGGTAAACTCTTTCTCTATGTGTACACATGTATGAAGAAGTTGCACTAACGATCTGTAGAGTTATTTATAATAAAATAATGGTTTAATTAATAGATACACTACATTTAACAACGAGTCGCCAACATTCTTTAATTTCAAATTCTTTTATTTTAGTGTGAATTAACCATCCGAATATTCCCATAATAATCTATATCTTCTGAATAGTTGGAAAAAATTTATGGACTGGTGACACGTTTTGATTTGGCCGCCTCTAACTTTCTTCCATTCATCCCCAAGGATAGTCAGCATTGCTCGTCGTGGTAATCGGTGTTCAGGCATATGTAACACAGCCAAAACTGTATTACCAATAATTATGTGCTCAAAAGTGACTAGTTTAAAGGTGGATTACCCAAATTTATTCAGAAAAACGCTATGATCTCTTTAGTCAACGAAGACACTGAATCAAAAGAGCACTATATCATTTATCTGCCAAATTTAAAAAAATAGTACTGTTTGATTCGCATTTATTGACCAACTGATATCGTGCTCCCTATGAGAGCTAAAACTCCTAGGTCCGGATTTTTATACGATGGTGGATGACCACTGATATACAGGCTTAAACTAAGATTAACTTTCAATTATTTGTTGACTGATATATACTTCAATGGTTAAGATCATGAGTCAGTTGAAGCTAGACCACCATGGAAAACCTGGAAACACTGGACGGCCGTTTCGTCCTATTGTGGGACTCCTCAGCAGTGCACATCCACGACCTCGCCCCCTGCGAGATCCGAACCCAGGACCTACTGGTTTCGCGCGTGAGCACTTGATCATTAGACCACTGAGCCGGCATCCAACGGTGTTAATGTCTAACTTCAACTAATCCATGAAATTGAGCGACACACCCACCATTGTCTTCAGTGAGTTACTATCTCACAACAGACCTGGTTGAACTCCACTGGTCACTACTTCTCACTAGAACTCCAGGATATACCTCTTGAAGCCAGTCACTAGTGAGCATATGTTGATTAATATCAAGTTTTCCATGGTGGTCTAGCTTTAACTGACTCATGATCTTAACCATTGAAATTAATATAATATCCAAAAAACCCATCTGATATCTATTTGTAAGGAAAATTACTTACGAAAGTGCAGGCTACTCATACTGTTTAAAATGAGACGGCCTAATATTAACTTGTTTGTTGTAGTTGACATATAAAAACAATATTTTCAAAGAATAATCAAAATGTTAAAGTATTGCTTATTGTACTAAACATATAATACTGAATAGAGCCGTTATTATTACTATTATTGTTACATTTTCTGGAATCTACAATAAAGTGTTGTCAATGTATTTATGAAATTATTGACAGAAATGAAATTTAATTGATCATAGAACGACTGACGCATATAACTAAAATATAGGTGTTTACATGTTACTGTTTGCCAGTTACTTCAGATAATTATGTTAGATTAAGGGTGAAACAATGTGTTGGTCAAGTCCCCCTTACTCATTTCTCAATCGAAGACATATTGATTTCTCGACTAAATAAAATACTGCAGAAGATATTTTAACACCCTCTCTACAACATTAGTAGTTCTTAATGAATTTTAATTAGTGACCATTTTAATCAATTATGGATATCTGTTATATGTGCAAAGTTTGACATGAATTATTGTGAACAAATGGATATATGACAAACTAAGATGGGATTTCGTCACATAGTTTCACGTTGAACAGTAAATCTTGTAAACCGAAAGATTTGAATTAAGGTGTCAACCGGTCTCCTGGACTAATTGATCAAAAATGAAATGATTTAGAAAATTCCACTATCCTAGCTGAATCTAACCTGGCCTAAAAAAAGAGATGTATATCATCGAGTGTGTGCAGTTTAAACTGGCTATTCACATTATCATGTTATCAACCACTAATCATGGATATAAATAGCATGCAGAGTGAAAACAAGAACAAACAGCTATTAGGTGTCCTTATTGTTAGCAGTGGCTTATCGATATGAATTAAATACAGAGAGGGGGGAGAGGAAAAAACAGTAAAATCAAACAAGTTGTACTTGCCATTTCTCTTTCTAAAGTAACTTTAGCTAGGTCAGAACGTTCCATCTCACGTTCTTGTAAAAGTTGCTCGATATGCGCTTCTTTTTCCTTGACAAGACGCTATGGAAAACAAATAATACACAGCATTAATAGCGAAGTGATGACATCATATAAAAAAACATAGAAAAAATAATGGTCTCCATAAACTGATAGAAGCTATATGAAAGTGATTAATAATAGTAGTGTTAACTGTAACCCATTGAAAAAGTATATAATTATGTCTAACAGCTGATGCTCGAGAACCGCCTAAGTCGATCCATGATGTTAGCTGGTGTAGGAGGAAGTTTGGAAAAGTTATAGGAGACAAAACCAATACGTAGCCTTAGTTTACGAAGTCCCTATGTACTGATCCGAGCAGCGTCGATAGATGCATATAACATGGTTGAGGTTCACATGACAATCACGATCGAGACGATAGCAACCGATGGTTAGAGACCTTGAATGACATGGCTCAAAATCGTTTGCAATGGCACAGGTGCATCCACTCTTTGTGTTCGCCCCCAAATGCCCTGGTACGGCCGAGAGTGAGGGAGAGTCCTCTCTCCCTCTCGAAATGCTCTCACATGGCCACGCGTATATAGCCTCTGCCAAGGCACAAGCTGAATACACAGAAGTTAGCAAACAAGTGAAGAGGAGCATCAGAACCGACAAACGTAAATATGTGGAAGATTTGGCAACGGCGGCGGAAAAGGCTGCAAGAGAAGGAAACATGAGACAATTGTATGACACGACAAAGAAACTCTCTGGAAATCGCCGCAAACCAGAACGACCAGTGAAAAGCAAGGAAGGCGAGGTAATCACCAACATTGAAGAGCAACAAAACAGGTGGGTAGAACACTTCAAAGAACTCTTGAATCGACCAGCTCCACTGAACCCACCCAACATCGAAGCAGCACCCACGGACCTCCCAATCAATGTTGGCCCACCAACAATTGAAGAAATCAGCATGGCCATCAGACAAATCAAGAGTGGCAAAGCAGCAGGACCGGACAACATCCCAGCAGAGGCACTAAAAGCAGGCGTAGCGGCAGCTGCAAGGATACTCCACATTCTCTTCAATAAGATTTGGGATGAGGAACAAGTACCAACAAACTGGAAAGAAGGACTTCTGATCAAAATACCGAAGAAAGGCGATCTCAGCAAGTGTGATAACTACAAGGGCATCACTCTTCTCTCAATACCGGAAAAGTCTTCAACAGGGTATTGTTAAACAGGAGGAAGGACTGCGTAGACGCCCAACTTCGTGACCAACAGGCAGGATTCCGTAAGGATAGATCGTGTACAGACCAAATCTCAACTCTACGGATCATTGTGGAACAATCAATTGAATGGAATTCATCACTCTACATCAACTTCATTGACTACGAAAAGGCATTTGATAGCGTGGACAGAACAACACTATGGAAACTTTTTCGACACTACGGCGTGCCTCAGAAGATAGTCAATATCATACAGAACTGATATGATGGATTACTGTTGGGATACTCAGAAAAATATCCCAAAAACAGCTATCTGGTTATGTCTAACGCTCCCCTTGAACGTTAAATGGTGTCATTTCCCTATTGGTCGTTTCCCTACTGATAAATATTTATTTCGCGTGTCATTTTCCTATTGGTCAGCATTATTTAACGTGTCATCTTTCTGTTGGTCAATATTTATAGTAATCCTAACTGTATAAATATGCATTTGTTTGTAAATCATTATTCTGCTGCTCCTGACCCCATAAACGAATTTTCATCTACGGTTCGTGTTCTGATATATTGGAGATTGGGAACAGTATTGGGGTCGAACTGGGATATCTGAAGCTAGTCAATCGGTAGAATTTAGAGTAGCCAACTCGCGATTCACAATAATTACACTGCAAAATTGTGCATGGAGGACAATTGACAAAGTCGTTCGAAGTGAAGACCGGTGTTAGGCAAGGTTGCTTACTCTCACCCTTTCTCTTTCTCCTGGTGATCGACTGGATCATGAAGACGTCAACGTCTGAAGAGAAGCGCGGGATACAATGGGCATCTAAGATGCAGTTGGATGATCTAGACTTCGCAGACGATCTGGCCCTACTATCCCAAACGCAACAACAGATGCAGGAGAAAACGACCAGTGTGGCAGCAGCCTCAGCAGCAATAGGTCTCAATATACACAAAGGGAAAAGCAGGATTCTCCGATACAACACAGCATGCACCAATCCAATCACAATTGACGGAGAAGATTTGGAAGATGTAAAAACCTTTACGTATTTGGGCAGCATCATTGATGAACAGGGTGGATCTGATGCAGATGTGAAGGCGCGGATCGGCAAAGCAAGAGCAGCATATTTACAACTGAAGAACATCTGGAACTCAAAGCAACTGTCAACCAACACCAAGGTCAGGATTTTCAATACAAATGTCAAGACAGTTCTACTGTATAGGGCAGAAACCTGGAGAACTACGAAAGCCATCATCCAGAAAATACAGGTGTTTATTAACAATTGTCTACGCAAAATACTTCAGATCCATTGGCCGGACACTATTAGCAACAACGTACTGTGGGAGAGAACAAACCAGATCCCAGCGGAGGGAGAAATTAGGAAGAAGCGCTGGAAGTGGATAGGACGCACATTGAGGAAAGCACCCAACTGTGTCACAAGACAAGCCCTCACTTGGAACCTCCAAGGTCAAAAGAAAAGAGGAAGACCAAAGAACACATTACGCCGGGAAATGGAGATAGATATGAGAAAAATGAACAAGAATTGGATGGAACTAGAAAAGAAGGCCCAGGACAGAGTGGGTTGGAGAATGCTGGTCAGCGGCCTATGCTCCATTGGGAGTAACAGGCGTAAGTAAGTAAGGGAAGTCCTACTCACTGCCTTCTCGTAGCGGGGGTGTTGTTTACGAAAATGAGTGGACGAAAAGCGAATGTCCGGCGCTTTAACCGGATTCCAAATCAATGGTGCACATGGGCTCCAGAACTGCGGGAACAAATGGCGTATGAACCAATTGTTGGTCACCATTCTGTGGTTTCGGACCGTATTCTCAGTATTTAGTCTAACGCAGCATTACTGCCACTACATTGTCCAGATTTCTTTGCTGTTTTTCTAGTGTACCTCATAGTGTTAATGCAGTATGGTAACGTCGGCCAACATATATGTGTCAGGCTCTACGTTGATCACAACTGACGTACCCAACTTTGAACTAAACTGTCTGTTTAGGGCCTGGTGATTTTATGTGGTAGCTCAAACTATGATGATTAGAGAAATATCCCAACTTAAAACCTACTAGTTAATTTAATTGCTTGCATCACTAAAGGATTATACCAGATAGAGTTTGAACAGCTGTTCTGTCATTGTCTTTCACTCAAGAGTATTGCACGTTCCAATCCAATTTTCACAAATTCTAAAACTTACACGATAGCCATTGATTGAGTAAATACATACAAATTATACATATTCCTTGTCTACTTAAGTGTCTATTGAACGTATTTTATCAGCGAAGACGGTGTCACAATTCAAGGTGAATTTTATGCTCAAATCAAGATATTTAGTGACAAAATAAAAAAGAAATGAAAGTCTATCACCAATTGATTAAGATTTCATCGATACGTTTTAATTTCTTGGAAAATCATTTATACGCAAGCCAGCTTCAGTAAGAAGATTTCTCTTTTTACATGTACATGTCAAATCATTTACTCGGTGAAGCATCAATGGTCATCCTTTCTTTCACAAGTTTAAATACAATAATCATAGTTAAAGTGTATAATAATTTCTATCAGCTAAATCAATCATACCATACATTGGAGTTTATTTTTCTCCGAAAGAGCATGAAATAAGGACTGAATTGTTTACAATGAATTATCATAAAATTGAAGGTATCATGTGTTTAACATGTGAAAAAAGCAACATATCCAATCATTTATTGATTATTATTATTATTATTATTATTATTATATTACTTAAAACAATTTTACTTCTGTTTTGCATAATGAAAACAATTACCCGTCACCATTTGATTTAGATTTTTTCCTTTAAATTCATAGTTATGGATGAAATTATGTGAAAACCAGCATAGTGACGAGAAAATAAACTCTCGTAAAAAATACTTGAAAAAGCACACACGTATAATAATAATAGGGTTTTTGTATTCCAAATAATAGGTGCTATACTGGCAAGCACAAAACTTTTCACGAGAAAGTAAAAAAAAATCGACACCTGTGACAGACTGATATTAAGCCACAGATTATTTCACATTCTCTTCAACAAAACGGTATTGACTGATCAATAGTTTTTATTGTGTTGATAATGCGATTTATCAATTACAGATTTGTGTAATTGGCTTTGACTTACACTTTATGAGGGACAGCAATAATACCTAGCTGCCTAGACTGAATTATATGGAGGAGGACTTAAACCTGAGATCTAATGTTTGAAAGCCGGACGCCTTAGCTACTAATCCACTATTGAAGATGACATAATAACAGATTGATCAACGGTTAAAAACTAAGAATTTTAAGAATCACTCATATATTTGGTTATTTCCCAAGATAGGTATGTAAATATTCTGACAGAGAGGAAGCTGAAAATCAGATAGGGACAAAATCTCCCTGAAATGGAATATTAAGTTTACAACTTTATATATATATATATATAACTTTCTAATAAATAAGATCAGACTTGTGAAATTACTCCTATCAAGATAGATTATAAAAACTATAGGAAGATAGTTTATAGCATGAACACGTATCGGCGTACTACTAAATGATGAATCACATTTACTATGTCTGGACCAAATACATTACTTTGATGAAGAAATTAAAGTGGAAATAATGGTGGTTGGAAAACTGTAGGTCGTGATATTATTAAATAATTGCTCTGTATAGTAGACAGTGAATATTGCTATTTATATACCAAACAAAACGCTTTCCACGAAGTCTGAAGAAAAAAGAACACTTATAGTTAAACAACTAACCTGTAGTGTTTGTAAATTAGATGTAGATTCTCGACGATTTGGAGTGTTCATTGATGATATCGGTCTTCGGTTACCAGCTACACCATTACGACTCTTGACATTGTAATCAAACAAAATGTATTATTATTATCAAAAGGGGTTTTGTGGATATTATGGTAATTTTAATAGTTGAGATCGTGAGTCAATTGAAGCTAGACCACCATAGTTCGAATCCCGCGAGGCGGGATCGTGGATGCGCACTGCGGAGGAGTCCCACAATGGGACGAAACGGCCGTCCAGTGCTTCCAGGTTTTCCATGGTGGTTCAGCGTAAGTGATTATATCAATAATAGGAAATAAAATTGTTCGTTTCAATTGTTTAAATAAACAGTGGGATGAAAGAATTTGACAATGTTACAGAGAGAAGTAAGCATATAAAAGACATTATTTCTATCTCAAATCAGTTTTTAATAGTGATATACTGTTTTATTTGAATACAATAAGCCTAATGATAAAACTTTCTTTGTCATTCTGAATATTATATTAAGACAAAATATTTATTGGTATTGTGTTAGCACAATAAAATAAATATTATAAAAGTTATTTTATTTCAAATCGATTCGAGTATCTAAACAATTTGCCTGGACGTAATTCATTCAGATATCAAAGTTTTTCATGGATAAATAGTTATGAATACATGAAAACAATTAAATTTATTAACAGTATAGGGTTGTGGAGATTGATGAGTTTCACCGAAATCATGAACCGATCAGTGTTAGACCATCATTAAAAGCCTGGAAGCACTGGATGACCATTTCGTTTTGGTATGGGACTTTTCAGCAGTGTGCATCATGGTTTTAGTGATGGAATTTATGTTATCTAAATGATTTTCTCCATCCGTTGGTTCCTTAATTCATATTCCTTTATACTATTATTGACGACAAAGTTTGGTAAAACAGTGAATTAGCCTACGTTAAGATCATTTAGATTACAAATCAATAAGTAAACTAACCGGTTAAAAGAATTAAAATATTAACATTAGGGTAGAGATTTTTATACGAAAACTCTGTTTCATTGTAGAATAATGAAACAGAACACACTTCTGTATAACATATTCTTTGTAACCAGTCAGCATGGTTAATCTACAAGCCGATATGAACATCTTCCTTAAAATGCCTTACTGACAGTTGAAAAACTAGAATGCTTTGGATGAGCATTTCAAGGTATGAAATCATAACATGAAGCGATCCACTGTTGGTTTTATTTATATCACAAGATGAAAAGGTGATATTATTTCAAGCTAATACTTTTCTGTATGAACTCAGTATGCATTTATCCAGCACAACAGGTGCGAACTTTCGTCTAGTCTGACCACCATATTTTTGGTATTTATCTAGTATAAACTTCGTATATGCTGTTACGGTAACTTTGAGTATTTTTCCTGCTTATTAACTAATCGTCAAATGTGTGCAAAATCAGTAAATAAATGAGTTTAATTCGGTTTCTTGGACATGCTTTTAGAGAGTCAGTAAATCTACATCCGCATTAGTCTTCTGAGTTCTTACTTTTTAATTTAAAATCTGATAAAACCATTTTTTATTATTGCACAGAGACATTCCCCTCACGGGAAGTTTGCGCTTCTCTAGATAATTCAGACTAAGTGTTGGTGACTTCATAAACTAGAGACTTGTCATATTTTAATTTGATGATTTTTAGTTAAAAGCACATAAAAGAGAGAGAGACCAACCTGTAATCCATTATTAACTTGATTTAGACGATAAGAGCGAGATACTGAACTCAAATTGGATGAATAGGATAGTAACGATTCTTGACTCCGGCTGTAAAAAACAAAATATGAAAGAAATGATTTTCTGCAACCAATTAAATAAGAACTAAATTTCAACAAGGATAAACTATTTTAATTAAAGTCATTATATGTGAAAATTATATTTGAAATATTCTCAGCGATTGAAATTTAACTAATTCCAACGTTTCGTCCAGCTAACTTGTCTGGACTTCTTCAGGGTAATAATCAAAATCAAAATTATCAAAGATTTTGATTATTACCCTGAAGAAGTCCAGACAAGTTAGCTGGACGAAACGTTGGAATTAGTTAAATTTCAATCGCTGAGAATATTTCAAATATAATTTTCACATATAATGACTTCTCTATACTCGGCGCTCAATTACTGTCAAACTATTCGTTCTAATCTTGACGAATATTCGTATAAATTATTTTAATTAAATTTTCGAAAACATTTGAGGCTAATACAAAAATCCATCGAATTTTATGAAAATTGGTTTCGAGAATGACGAGTCATTCCCGTTATTCTCAAGAAGCACATCACAAATTTAAAACAAATAGCCATCATTTGTACAGATTTCTGCTCACCAAAATATAATTGTTAAGTCTCAGGAAACATAAGACTTTTAGCGTGGTAGCCTTAAGATTTCTCAACTCAAAAATGATTTACACTGCAAACTGATTTAATTTACACAACTACTAAAAACTAAGAAGCGCTGTATGATTGATTTCTTTCAGAATTTAACCCCTCGATAATATGTATCCATAACTCCACGATGGATCGTAATAAGGACTTCCTACTAAAACTCGAACCCATTGAAGTTCAACTACATTGGTTGTGAGACACATATTGACAAAGACAATGACTAATGATCGTGCAAAATATTGAGTTAACTAGCGTTTAAAATACGGAGTATTAGGTTGAAATGCAAAGCTCTTACGCCAAGGCCTGGAAGTGCTGAGTTCGAACCCTAAGAGGCCGTGAATATGCAATGATGAACCCCATATAGAAATAAGACACACATATAATGCTACATTACTTTTAACAGTCGAATGCCTATAGCTATTCTATGATGTAACTATTCTAAAAATGTAGGATTTCGTCGATGACATCAAGGTTTACAGGACTAACATATTACCATTGAAACATCAAAATTGATGTGAGCTATTTGTGACAACACACATGAATTTTTCGTGATTAAGTACACTGTGTTCAGCTTCAAAAGTTTAAATAAAAATAACAAAGTCGCAATTAATTACAATAAAAGATTTACACTGCTAAAAGCAACAAGCAATGTAAATCTAGATTCTAAAAAATAAAACTGTCCATTAAACATGAAGTGTTGCAAATAAATATGTCTGTCAAGCATAGCAATATTTTAGAAGAGATACACTCTACTATGAAATGATTGGTAGTTAATGTTTCATAAGGACACATTAATCGCTGCATTCAACTAGAAAAATACATATTCTTATGCTTGAAAACATGCCAAACGTCATTTATTTTACGAAGCAAATCGCTTCAACAGTTGTGCTAGCGAAACATTCTTCTCATTAAACGATGAAAAGTGACACGAGAACCCATCATATATAATGATATTCTCTCTTTTTTAAGGGAGATGTGATAAACAGCGTTTAACGCATTCTGCGTAAAATTGATTAAAAACAACGGAAACTATTGTTTTAAAGATAATTAGGCTGGTACTATGTCAAGTCCACATAGGTTATTCTAACCTCTGGACAGACCAATCTATTCATTCTTCTCAAGCCACATTTTTACTTTGTCACTTATTCGCTTATCAACCTTGACTTTTTATGTAAGCGTATGTGTGCGCATTTCTTATCTTACTCATCACATGTCTGTAACTTGTTCAACTAGAAATATCAACTCACGCTTGGCTAAACTGAGTTGGCTCATTCACCTTCTCCATTATGCGTCATTTTGTTTTGCTTCGCTATCTCATCAACGACTGTACAAAATATACATATTCAAAACTTCATTCTTGTGTTTGACTTATTTAATTCTGTTATTCACTAACACGATTTAAGTCGATGATTATATACGGGAACAGTCAAGATGTATATTTCAATAGCAAACAGCAAAGATCTACCTAGAGTCAGATACCCGGGCCACTAAAAGCTCTATATCCAAAGTTATATTAAACATGCTTGTACTACAACGAATCAATTCTAAAAGAGAATTCATCTTATGAAGATGGGAATAAATAATTGGCCGTAGATAGCTTTTTATCAACTAAGCGAGACAAAACACTAAATAAAGAGTAAATGAAAAACTTTTTTAATCAAGGAAAGTTGTGCCAAACCAGATCATCAGGGGTATATTTCTGAAAGACCCTTAAAAGGCACATGCACAATAACTATAGCACTGATGTATATATGACTCAACTTGGAGGGCTTAATAACTATTTTAAAATCTCTAAATAAACCAATCATCAGAAAGTGATATGAAGACAGAACTTTATTGTCTTAGAATGCAAAATTACGATTAATAAAGAGACAGTTAACCATATATGTGAACAGATATGAACACCACGATTTCAGTGAACGTCATGAAACACTTATTGCGGAAACTTAACGTGTAAGTATTACGTTTGATAGCAAAATTCATTACCACATTCTATGTTCAATGATACTATTTTAGCTAAACCTGTAGAGGAAGAGAGAGGAAATTGAGATGAAAAGCGTAGTAGAGGTACACATGACCGATATAATTCGCAAGAAATAAATAAATTGAAGGATGAAAAGTACGTTGCTTAACTTAGTGTTTGATGCGAGATGCAGGACTAGTGCGACTGCTCTACTGAGATTGATTTCGGGCCATGACATACGTCTCAAACAATAAATTATTATCTCAGGGGTGCCAACATGGCTCATGCCGACAATCACTGACTTGGTGAATTGATGCCACATCTTCCAACTTACTCTTATGTGGGCATTAAGGTGTAGGGATGGACGATCGCTAGTAATGCACTTTGCATGTTTCAATAACTTTGATCGTTTATGGTTTACAACCTTATCAACCGAATAGCGATTTCTGTCTAGTACTTTACGCCTAATGCCATATGCCCTGACATGGCCAAGGGTGGAAAGAGTCCACTCTTCATCTCGGAATCTTCTGTCCGGTTTGGCTGGTGTTAGTGTCGCACTAGGTCCCAGAGCAGAAGCATTACTAATCCATTGGATTCTCTTAACCAGTCGATTATGTGTCGTTAGACCAAAAAGCTTCATCAAAGTGACTAGAAATCGGTGTGGGGAACGACGCCCATTCGTTATCTCCGTCTAAGCCCCGACAGATTCCAGCCCAGATGTAATCAGGGATCAGTTCTACAATCAGTTAGATGATACTCTCAAAAAACATCAAGCTGGAAAGACATTGTAATGCTAGCCGGAAATATAAATGCTCTGATCGAGAGTCTAGGTACTGAGAAGCGTCGTTTAGGTAGCTAACGGGGACTCATTAGCCACAGGTAGAATAACAGTAGACGCCTCCCGCAGCTTTGCACAGACCACAAGACTGCTACTCCTTTTGGAATACTTATCTGGGCTCTGATCATGCCCTCGTTTGCGTTAATCATAACTTACGTCGCAGTGGTTAACAAATTTGTCGTTCTAAACCGATTGATGCAACCAAATTGATTACAGCTTACATTAAAACCAATTATTAAACCAAACTAGGTTCAAGGTTAGCTAACTTCCTATCAGCGGGATATCGATTAGATTAAAGCACGTTCCGTGCAGGATTGTGTTGGGGCACGCTGATTGGCTATTTCTTAACGAATCAGAGCTAGCGGATGCTTAAAGAAGACTCTAGAATCTTCTTACGTGAAAATCATAAATATATTAACGTTTTTCGTATTTTGATTCTTACTTACATTCAACCTTGTTATTTACAACGTAATTACGTTCCTGTTCAACATTGTTCTGACTTGGGGAAGTACTGTCCAAGAATGCTAAGCAATAAGAGTAGTTCGGTCGTAAAAAGAGAACATGTAACACGTCCCACCGAAAAGTATGGATGAGCACTGTCTGCATTTGCCTGACGCTATGAAAAATGGCGAATAGATTCGCTAGTGGCTTAGCTAAACGTCTCTCTTGTAAGCACAGAGCTTTTACAAGCTCCTTATAATTCATTGAGGCACGTCGGTCTACTCCAGCTGACAGCGAGTTTAACGACAGACAGACGTTCTTACGTACAGAAATTGCGTAAAGTTTGCGTAAAAACCGAGAAGCCTGGTGATCGGAGCACAATAAAGGATTAGAAGCCGCGGCTTCATCTGGCAATCACGAAGAGCTCTTCCAACTCATCCAAGACACTGATAGCAAGAAGTGTGGTGTGAGAGAAGCGATCTGTGATGCTGATAGAACACCGATCAATAGCATCCAACAACGTCCTAAATGATAGGCAGTATTCTTCGAGGAACAGTCCAGCTGGTCTACTGGCTCGGAAATATCAATGAGACTGTCCTGTTCTCTAGAGTTGATGAAAACTGACCCACCAAACGAAGCAGGAATCTGCAAGTAAATCCAACTCCTGAAGTGCATAGATCACCAATCCTAGATGACTTACAACTGGTCTTTTTTAAAGGTGGCGAACCTCTTGTCAGAAGATTGACTGAGTTGCTTACAAAAGTTTGGGAATTAGTTTTTCAATACCCTGGAATGAGAAAATAGTCGTCCCTATCTTTAAAAATGGTTCACATTACCTATGTAACAACCATCGTGGGACAAGTTTACTTTCGATTGCGTCCAAATCATTAGCTTCCGTCATACTTCGTGGACAGTTTGAAGCCCATGAAAGACCGACTCGCAAGGAGGCTGGCTTTCGATTTTGTCGTAAATGTATTGATTACATCATCACCATCTGCCAAATATTAGAACAGCGCCATACCTAATGTAGGCCAACAATGGTTGTGCTTTTGATACTAGGGCTGCCGTTGATTCGCTAGACAGGACTTTTTTCTAGGATTGTCTATTGAAGGAGAGTGTACCTAAGAGGTTTATTCACATTTTGAAGGTCCCATATATAAGCACCTCAAGGCAGAGTGAAGACATACAACCATCTCTTTCCATTGTTTCGTCCAAGTAGTGGGGTTAGGTAGGGTTATCTAACCTTACTGTTTCTCTCCAACTTCGCTATTGATAGCGTTCTGGAAACAGCTCTGATGGATGTAAATAGTGTTGGTGTTGATCTGTTGCCTGGAGGAAGATTTTTCAACCTTGAGTATTCGGATGATATTATCCTTCTGTGCGATAGTACTCAAGCTATAAGAGTCTCAGCTAATCAGTATTTGTGGGTACGGCATGAGCTTTTCCCCTTCTAAGTGCCAAGAACTTTTACAAGACTAGCAGGACCCTGTGTCTGCGCTCACTCCTAATCATGAGCAGTTATAAGTAGTCGAGAGTTCTGTGTATCTGGATAGCTCTGCAGGTTCTGGGTGGTGGCGTGAATGGTGAGACCAATTTACGTAAGGTAAAAGTCAGAGCAGTTTGTGTCAATCTGGAACACCTCTGGCGCTTTCGTTGTGTTAGCATGGTTGTAGAAGGCCGAGTTTACAACGCTTCGGTAAGAGCAGATTTGCTCCACGCTTGCGAAACCTGACATCTCCAATTTGAAGACGCCAAGCAACTTTATGTGTTCCACTATTGTTTTTTTCCGAAATATTACGGACATTCAGTGCCAACATCATGTTATTAATACGGAGGTGTAGCAACATGTGCTCGAATACTGGCGACAATTAAACTGGTGTCACCAGCTCGAAACATCAACCTCGATAGCTTGGCTGTGCTACGAATGCGATGCTACGGACTTACCCGTTACGCTTTATTTGCCGACACTGGGACTGGTTAGAAAAGTGGGGACAGTCCGTTTATAACATGATCCTGGGATAAAAAGGAAAGTTGCACAGGGCTGGCATCTGTCGGTCCTTCATGACTTTCAGGTTGGGATACAAGAGATGTTGCAACTCAGTGGCATGGGATGTCATTAAATATGGCTTAGAATATAAGCCAATGTGGATCCTGCTGTAATTTTCTTTATCAGTATGGGGGTTGTGGAGATTGTTAAGTTTTTGGTTGAGATCATGAATTAATTGATGTTAGACCACCGTTGGAAACCTGGAAGCACTGGACGGCCGTTTCGTCCCAGTATGGGACTCCTCAGCAGTGCGCATCCACGATCCCGCACCCCGCGGGATTCGAACCCAGGACCTACTGGCTTCGCGCCTGAGCACTTAACCATTAGACCACTGAGCCGGCATCCAATGGTGTTAGTGTCTAACATCAACCAATCCAACGAAATTGCGCGACCACCTTCCATTGTACTGAGGTAGATAACTGTCTCTACCCGACACGGATTAGCTCCACTGGTCACGACTTCTCACTAGAACTCCGAGAATTCCCTCACGAAGCTAGTCACTAGTGAGCACATGTTAATTATCAGTATGGGGGTTGTGAAGATTGTTAAGTTTTTGGTTGAGATCATGAATTTTCTTTGACTATATTTCAAAAGTGAGAGGAACTTCCTTAACTGGAAGGATTTCTTGTGACTGTGCTTTTTACAACTGAAAGGTTTCTCCCACCATAAACTACACTTATCCACTTTTTTTACTTATTTACTGTTTTTCATTACATTTACCTTCCTTTCTCTATTGCTTCACAATCTCATTTTCTTATTTTGTGACATATTTATTATGGCATTTATGTCTACTAATATTTGTGTTTAAATAAATAAATAACCTCAACGGTTATCAGTTGGTGGTTTCCGTATCAGAAAGTGATGACCCTGATATGATAGGAGGTCATAATTCGAGGTTCGACATCGTGGGCTGACTTCGATTAAACAATATAGAAAAACTGGATGAAATGGACAGATGTTTCATTCTAGTATTGGGATCCTTAGTACTGAGAATCCACGACCCAACTAGGAGTCGAAACACAAAATTTAGATCTCGCAGCGAACAATCGATCGTTAGATCAATTCTAACTGTAGGCAGTACAAGATGATGAGCAACTTTCATCCATAGCCTTAGTGATACCTTTCTCACTCCTCACAATATGGGTTCTGACAAGGACTTCAGAAGTTCTCAAAGTCGCCAGTAAGTAAACGATTATTGTTAGGATGGAGGGCTTATGGACATTATTCAATTTAGAGATTTTACATGATAACTAGTATCTGGCCACGATCCATGATGATACGGTTTCGATTAAGAAGAAATGACTGTCCAATGCCCCCTAGTTTCCAATGGATCTCCATCTAATTCAAGTTTAGAATTTAAATTGTTTTCGAGCACATTTACCTTACTGACAACTCCAAATTTGTGTGCAAATACTTGGCTGCTAGTGAGTACATCGAATTGCATTTCTGATCACGGAACATGTCAAAAATTTACGGCATATCTCATCCTGCATTCTTACTTATACGTTAGAAATCATTATCATGAAGTGAATATTTCAAAAAGTATGTTCTGTTACCCATCAATTAATAGTTGAAGGGGCAATATACTAACAGATGCTGGAGAATTCAGCTCAGGTAATCAATAAATATAGAATCCAAGCTTAATATATAAACAGTGTACCAACATAAAATAACACCACATAAACTTGCCGAGTTTGACTGTTTTTTGATGCATCAAAACCAGATGTGCGAAATTCATCCTTACTACCGGCAGGTACAACTTTATTAGCGGCTGCAAACAAGCCATGATTCGGTTTACAAGTAAAATATCTATGCAGAAAAAAGTTTAAAAGTATAAGACTTTACAATACTACCGGATTTATTACATATCAATACATTTAAAATGAATAACAATATTGATGCTGGATACAAAGTCTATATGACCGAAAAAATGACCTTCAATAAATAAATAAAAATACAGGATGACCGGGCTGTTATTAGCTTTAGTGATGAAAGACAAGCACATACTCACTTAATGTCTTAAATGAATAGAAAACAGGATCAAATTAAATAAATGTTAGTGAATCATACAGTGACAAAGCTTACCTAAAGCACCAACCCACTGGATAGATTATGTTAAGGCTGCTTGTAATGTGAAGCCCTAACATAGTTATGGACATATTAAGTAAAAACTCACCTTCACAGTGATCAGTTAATAACTATCGGTTACTTAGGCACTATAGGCACAGAAATTCTCTTTGACATCAGTTTGTTTTAACACCCTAGAAAGAAATGATCGCAAAGACAGTCTTTTAGCATCATGTTTCAAAATGTTTATTGAAGGCCCCATTTCTCTTACTAAGTCCCAAATAACAAGTCTCATTCGTCAATGGAATAGTGGCTAGAAAACTAAAACATTTTCGTCCCACCTAGTTCCGCTCGGGGAACCGATAAGTATCAACAACACAATATATGTGACTTAAAGCCCAATAAACAAACCTGAATTTCACAAATAAGTCACTTAATTGATACAGTAGAATCATGCTAAAAAAGACCATTTTTAGTATTTTAGAATAAGCAATATCTACCTTTCGAATAGTGCAAATGACCTTAAACTAGAGATAGTCAATTTTGTCTTCTAACCGGAGCACAAGAACAGTATTTCATCACAATATCAGTTGACTTAAAAGTTGCATACAGCACTGGGTGCATATTTCTAGCAATGATCTACTGGTGTCAGATAAGTATATATATGCTCAAAATCAGTTTTTAAGTTCCTTCATCAGATACCAATTTTATCAAGCAATCTGAGGAAATACCAGGCAGTTTCAATATAAATCACTATATTCTCTGAAACGACCCCAAAGTCCCCTGGTGCATATATAAACTATTACCTTCACGCCAACTTCTTATACTATATCCATTTATAATGAAATATAATGTTTGACGGTTTGACTAATATCTAATTTCACAGAATTACCACAAAAAGAACAGAATAGCGTACCGTACGCCAGAAACTGAGCCATCGTTTTTCCCAATAGGGCTATCCAACTCAATACCAGCCCATTCACCAACAGCAAACTCTGTGGGCCCAAGATATCTGAGGATACCGATTCGACCTCCAGAAACCTGAACATGATCACCGATTTGCAAAGTATTTCGCCCAGATGCACAGGCAGGAGAGTTCACTAGAGACACCTTGGATGAACAGACACTATCGACATCTAAAACGCTGTTTTGTTTTGATTGATTGTCTGGCGCTTTATCAGGAATTGTTGAACCAACCTAAAATATTAGGAGCAAAAAATACATAAACTTGACGACTTAGGAATAGCTCATAACATATGTTCAATGCAACAAAACATTTGGACAAATCCAGGATACAAAAGCACTAAAAGACAGATTTACCCATATCATAAGTTTGGTAGCTTCAGATGACTACAAATTACAGGGAACTGTACAAACCTTTAACTTACAGGCTTAGTCATATCTGCATACACGGGATTAAACAATGTACCATAACCAGAAAGTTACATCAACTTAAGACCGGATTGCAATGTCATTGTAATATCCTCTAAAATAAATTGAAGGGAATTTAAACCGCTAGTTATTCACATGAATAAATCGGAAGTCCAAATTGAGATTTAGGTAGTTATACTAGTTTTTGAAATTCCTACAATTGAAGAACATATGGAACTCAAAGCAACTTTTGACCAATATCAAATTCAAAATCTTTAATACGAACGTCAAGGCAGTTTTACTGTACGGAGCTGAAACTTGGAGAACTACAGCAAACACCATCAAGAAGGTACAAGTATTTATAAATGGTTGTCCACACAAGATACTCAACATCCATTGGCCGGATACCATCAGCAAGAGCCTTCTATGGGAGAGAACAAACCAGCTTCCAGCTGAAGAAGAAATTAGGAAAAGGCGATGGAAATGGATAGGAAATACGTTACGCAAATCATCAAACTGCATCACGAGGCAAGCCCTGACTTAGAATCCTGAAGGGAAACGGAATAGAGGAAGGCCAAAAAACACATTACGTCGGGAAATAAAAGCAGATATGAAAAGGATGAACAAAAACTGGAAAGAGCTGGAAAGGATTGCAAAGGACAGAGTTTGATAGAGAATGCTGGTGAGCGGCCTATACTCATTCACGAGGAGTAACAGGTGTAAGTAACTAGTTTTCAAAATATAAATTACTATCATGACTAAAATAACCTTTTTGAGTCTAGCTATAAAGCTTCAGTAAGTCACTTACATAACGCTCAGCTGTGGCATTCAAGTAGCGCAACACGGTGTTCTTGTGTTTTTCGGCATAAAACTACACGTCGTCATCAGACAACCATAGTTTCTTTATACGACCACTAATTTGTGCGACTTCAAGACAACAATTTTATCGATACAGCCAACAAAACAAACGTTCCATATATTTCCTACTATTTTATAATGCTGCTATACCCAATAACTTCAGCTGCTTAGAGATCGGTTGCCGCGTTGTAAGTCCAAGGACCACGCCTAATTAAGATGAGTGACACTAACACAATAAGTACAGTCTAGAGTCTAGTATGTCTACTTTTTTACTACTGATACTACTAATTCGAAAACCTTTATATTCCCAAAATTCCGTCACTCTATGATGATTTGACGGTAACTTGAGCCTATGCGCATTTGAGCTAGGTTTTTTATTGATTATGATTGACTGACCGAGAGCCTAGTATGGAAGCCAGCACTTTTATTAGTTTTTCATGTTGTTCAAGTTGAAACACTTTAATTACGAACCACCCGTGTTTACTTATATTTAAATATGATTGTACTGACATTTCATAGCTAGTAAGATTGAGATCCATGCTTTAAACACACTCATAACTCTTACTATAGAATGATAATATAAGGATTATGTTCCGATCTATGGCTGAGCGATTACCGTCCAACAAAAGCTAACCCTGCGTTTACGACAAGCCTGGCTTTTTTGAAGACCAGACGTTGGGATGATTTGAAATCGGACAAAAAAAGCTTTATAATAATGACTAAGAAGAAATGTACCTTTGCACAATTAAAATGTGATCATATGTGAGTTGAACTGGTCTACTACCACTCAAACAAAATGATCACGGAATACAGATGCTAGACTAATTCAGGAGAGCAATGTAAACCATAGGGTCGATTGTTGCACAACTCCCGTGTTTGTTACATTTAACCCAACGAAAATGGTAACTAAGTAACCTCCTGATAACTAGGGCCCTTCGAAACTTGATAGCCCTATAAGTGACAGAACACTGTGAAAGTTTGACCTTAACCCATTTAAATGTGTAGTGAGTAGCTAAGTAGTATGCAGAAATGAACTAATACTGGTTTATCGACGGATCGAAAGACGTGTGGCTATAAAGTATTTGACACTATGACCAACAAGTTGAGCCTCAAAGTTCCATCCAGGTTTGTAAAGACTCTGAGTGATTGCAGAAATTTTGGCAATCTGACTTACTTTTGAGCAGGATTCCTCAAGTAGAGGGTTTGGTGCAAGTCTGACATTACCACGCTTAGAAAATATTCCATGCAATGGACTACAAGTGAAATACGTCACACCATCGACACAACCATCATTCTTTCCACAAGGTGAAAATAAATTTACACCAATCCACACTCCACTGGCAAACTGCGTTTCTCCGATGAATTCTATTTTACCTATCCGCTGGGTCCCAGGACCGACATATACAACATCACCAACTGTAAATTCTGTTTGTTCCACATTTAAAGTCTCTTGGTCACAGTGACTCATTCAGCAAACTAGATGAAAAATGCAAAGATCCAACATCAAGGATAAACAAGAAGTATATTAACCTTCAAGTTGATGCGTCTTTGAGGGTCGTCAGTTTCCTAATAGTTCATTTCAACAAAGACTTATAGATAATTTGTCAGTCGATTTCTCCTCGCTTCAGAACATGCAATAGACTTCACGGGGTGCTATACATCATATATATCGTATGGTTAGCCTAGTCACTTCGCTTTAAAAACTTTCCATACGAAATATGGTTTAAATGTCATTAGTCTAATATGATCATAATTATTCATTACACTTTAGATTATTAACCACAAAATCGCAATATCGAGAAGGCGTATAAGCTTCGAAGTTATCCAGTCTGAGCTTTGGACGACACTAGGCAGAGCAGTCAATGTGATTTTATAAATGACCGTCAACTTCAGTTGGTCATTCAGTAATAAAGGCAAGTTGTGAAGCTCTTTAGTTTCTAATATCTCGTTTTTCTGTTGTTGTTGTTGCTGCTGAAAATACTTTCGTCTCTTCAGAAAATCTCTCTTGACAATCGCTAACAGATAACTAGAACCAAAAGATGCCACAAATATTCGGAGTTCGACAACGCCTTAACCAGTAATATCTATAATCGAAATATGCCAAACCAGTCAAACCAGAAGTCAGAATTAAAGAGGTTTGATGATATATTTGATAAGCTATCGATATATTGAGAAGTGATCAATCTAAGCTGGCTAGCGGTTGTAGGAGAAGTTCAAGCCCAACGAGTTTGTCGTTGGTAGACACTTCTGATAGCTTGCTATGTTCAGCGGCTTCTGGTCGTCTTCCTTTACTATTATAGGCCATGTTTTACAATATAAAAATAAAAATTTCCATCCGTCGTAAACTTCGTCGCTTTTTATATTTTTTCCAGCCATTCTGGAAAAGAAAAAGAAAGAATAAGTAAGTGCATGTCGAAGTATACCCGTACGTGCGTCAAGACACAAAATGGGCGGAAAAGGAAAATAAACTCATATACATGCGTTTCGGAAACATGCAATAGCGTAAAAAGGACTTTTGCAGAGTGGCTGTTTTGGTTTTTGTGAAAAAATAAAAGCATACACAAATAAGCAGGTATATTAGCAACAGAACGTTTTTCGAAATGAAAATATATGAGAATATTAAAAATAGTTTGTTTTTGAAACAATACAAAAAATATCGAAACGAAACAGTGTTATGTAGTGCTTTACGTGTAGTAGTCGTTTAGGTGTTCTGGAAACCTTACTCTTCTTCAAGAACGCGTTCTTTTTAGTCGGTTGCCAGATACCAACGAAGTGATTGTTGATTATCGGGTGAGGTATCATAATTGTGGAACTCGTGTCTTCCAGTTGAACCGAAGGATGAAATCGACATGAATAGGGTTTTCTTTCAAATACACGGCTTTGATGTAATCGATGTTGATCCTATCATTAGTTCCGTTCTTATCGATTATATAGTAGGTTCACGCGGAAGTACTTTGAAGGGTCCTTCGTATGCTGATTCGAAAAGTCGTCGTTGTGAGTCTCGATGAACGAAGACGTGTGTACTATATCCTAAGTCAAGTTCAACGAAAACATCAGTTGATGGCGGTCGAGTGGAAACCGGTTTAACTGAACGCATTGCGTCTGTAAGTTCGCTCGTGTAGGAGGTTAGATCCATATTCATTGAAGAAGATGAAGGATTTACGAATTCTCCTGGAAGTCTGAGTATCGTTCCATAAACGAGTTCAGCTACAGTGTATCAAATGTCAGCTTCCACTGCATTGCGAATACCTAGTAAGACTAGTGGAAGAGCGTCAGTCCACTGTGAAGCGTTTGCAGCTGATAGCAAAGCTTTTAGTTGTCGGCGAAAGCGCTCTACCAACCCGTTTGCTTGTGAGTAGTAGGCAGTCGTTCGGAAGCGAGTGATTCCTAAAAGTGTGGTCGGACAACGGAAAATCTGAGATTCAAACTGACGTCTACAGTCTGTGGTGATAGCTGAAGGGCAGTGGAAGTTTGCTACCCATTGTTCGACGAAGGCGCGGTCACTGTTTCAGCAATGATATCCTTGATAGGTACTGCTTCTGACCACCGAGTGAAATGGTCTGTGCAAGTTAAAAGACAGGAGCATCCATTTGAATCTGGTAAAGGTTCTACCAAATCCAGATGAACACAATTTTGAATGAGCCCAAGGGATATTTGTTGTGTCTGATCACTTTAGATTTCTGGCAGCTTACACAGGAGCGTGCTCACTCCCTCATATCTTTATTTATACCAGGCCAGCAAAATTGCTCTACTATGAGCTTGATTGTTGCACGATCACCTGGATGAGAAAGTTTGTGCAACGTATTGAAGACGTTGAGTCTATAATGTTTCGGCACGATTAGACGATCCCTACCTGTAAATGTGTCACATAGTGAGGTTTCCTTCCCATCTGTTTGATGCGTAGTTTAAGGATTGTTGACGATAACTCGTGCTGAAGGTCAGTATCTTCTTATTCAAGCTGGGAGAGTTTCAGAAGGTCGATTCCTTGGAAACTGTTCAACGAAGTTATTCGAGACAAGGTGTCTGCGACTACATTGTTTGCTCCAGAAGTGTGTTGAATATCTGAAGTAAAATGTAGTCCAGTTGCTGAGACTCGAGGTGAGTACTTGTCTGAAGATGAGATTCATGAGAAGGTAAGAGGTTTGTGATCGTTGGAAAGAGTGAATTCCTGGTTCTTTAAAGTGCCATGCCGCACAGTACATAGCTAGGAGTTCCCCACCGAATGTGCCTTACCTCGATTCAGTGTCTAGCAACCGTCTCGAGAAGAATGCCGAAGGTTGCCAGGAGTGGTATACCCATTTTTGTGAGACTCCTCCGATTGTTGGGTGGGATGCGTCTACTGTAATACTAATGGGTGCTTCAGTGTCTCGATGTGCGAGTTTGGTTGCCTTTGCGATAAGTTCCTTAACTGCGAAGAATGCTTTTCTCTCGGTTTCCTCCAAACTGATGGATTTCACATTTCCACGAAGTTCGTCGGTTAGCAGTTTCACAAGTGACACGCAGTTTGGTATAAACCGTCCATAGAAACTTACAAGGCCGTTAAACGTGCATGGTTGTTTGATGGTGGTTGGTTCTGGATAATTCTGAATAGCCGCCACTTTGGTTCTAAGAGGTCGTATACGTTGAGCCTCAATAGTTCATCCGCGGGAATCTACAGAGTCACTGCCGATTAAACATTTCTGAATGTTTACAGTCAAAACACGCTTTCATAGTCATTCAAAAACAAGGCGGACCTTTTAGTGAACGTGAGGTAACGGTTAACGATCGGTAACATTTTTCACATTCAATCGCCGATAGTCTCCAGTTGGACACCAGTCGTTACTGTCGTTTTTGACGACCATATGCAAGGGAGATGTCCATGGACTGTTTGATGTGTTGAGGCGGCAGCTAACCAATATGTTATGGATAAGGTCCTTAATATCTGACTCCAAATAATGATATTCCGTAACTGAGTATTTAAGGTAGGCTTAATCTCCTAGTAGAATTACGGATTTACTCGAGATTATTAAGAAGCCTGAACACCAGTTATGGAGATAGTTTATTATTAATGAATAATGATAATCCACAAGCGTATTGTGAGCAAGCACACGATGGGAACAGAGAGAGTGTGAGTTTGTTAAAAATCCATATATATTTGAGGGTTAATCGGGTGTAGATAAATTATCGATTATCTGCACGTTGAAACCAAAAGGAAAATAGTTTAAAAGTTAATGTACAGACATGCATTCGATAATACACACCGGAATTAACGTAGTGAATTAAGAGTCTAAGTTACAATGAATAGACAGATGATACAGTGGCCAAATGGGCTTGCCACATAAGCTCCCATCCAGAACATTGATGTTTTTATGTACCAAAAAAAATTGGATTAACATCTATGTTCGACAAAGAGATAAAGAACGGAACTGTTTTTAAAATGAAAGTACAACTCAATATGATGAGTAAGCGTAAAATTGTAATAACAGCTTGTGTGTTGAAACGTTTCATATCATGTATATACAAGTGTATATTTAACATTAATGAATTGTATAAAGTTAAAATGTAAGCATAATGATGATCCGTGGGGCCAATAAAAAAAAATAGTAATCAAAATGAAGTAGGATTTTTATGTGTTATAAGAGTAGTCTCAGGATTTGGTCTAGATAAATATGGTGGTTGCTACATACCTATCTGGCCAATGTACTCTTCTTCCTGATCTTGTTGTAGTTTGTGCTGCTGCTGAATTTCGATTTGAAGTGTTGCTTGTTGCAGGTAGTTTGAATGGTGCTTGCTCTGCTGCAGGTTTAGACGGTTTTACAGTTGTCTGTTTTTTTTTCAAAAATATTTCGTCTCATACCGAAAGGTACAAAAGGGCGAGTTTTACCTGTTGAGGTATCACAAGTTAAGGTGTCCTTGTTGTTTATGGGGATGTTTTGGAATAATAATTTCGTTTCCTTAGACTGCAAAAGCTTTTGTAGCTCCGTATCGACCTTTTGATGCTTTGCCATTTCTTGATAGTCTATATCAGGGATCGAGAAGGTATTGATATTTAATCTCGATAGTGCATCTGCTGCCTCATTTGCATTGCCTTTAATATAGCGTATATCAGCTGCAAATTGTGAAATGAATTCTAGTTGACGAATTTCGCGCGGACTATATTTATCATGGTTGTGCATCAAGGACTTAGTTAGGGGTTTGTGATCAGTATATATCGTGAAAGAATTGCCTTCTAACATGTAGCGAAAGTGTTTGATGGCTAAGTAGATAGCCAACAGTTCTCTACCGAATGTGCTATATTTCGTTTGCGTTGCGTTTAGCTTTTTTGAGAAAAATGCAAGGGGTTGCCATTGTTCATTGACACGTTGCTGAAGTACAGCACCTACTGCTATGTTAGAAGCGTCGGTCATTATTGCTAAAGGTGCATCAACCTTTCGTCGTGCGAGTAATGCCTCTGTGCTTAAAGCGCTTTTCAACTGATCAAATGCTTGAATTGATTGCGGTGTCATTGCTAATGATTTAGCTCGTCCCCTTAATAAATCAGTTAGTGGTTTTGCTAAGTCTGCACATTTAGGGATAAAACGTCTGTAAAAGTTGATCATCCCAAGGAAACGTCGTAGTTTCTTGAATGAATCAGGCAAAGGATAATTTTTGATAGCTTGTGTTTCCTCAGGAACTGGTTTAATGCCTTGCTTATCAAGTACGTGACCTAAAAAGGTGAGGGATTGTTTTCCGAACTCACATTTGTCAGGATTGACCGCTAACCCATACTCGTTTAGCTTCTCAAAAAGCATTTTCAGATGAGTTAGATGTTCATTTTCATCTTTGCTTGCTATAAGTAGGTCATCTATGTAAGCATACACAAACGGTAAGCCCCGTACCACTTGGTCAATAAAACGCTGGAAACTTTGTGCAGCATTCCTTAATCCGAAAGGCATGCGGACGAATTCGTATAGTCCAAAGGGGGTAGTAATGGCTGTTTTAGGAACATCGTCCGGATGAATTGGAATGTGATGGTAAGCACGGACGAGATCAATTTTTGAAAAGATCGACACGTCAGATAGGCTATGAGTGGAGTCATGCAGATGTGGGAGAGGATATCTATCTGGTATGGTCCGGCTGTTGAGAGCTCTATAGTCACCGCACGGTCTAACTTCGGAAGAGTTTTTCTTAGGTACCATATGAAGCGGTGATGCCCACGGACTATCGGAGGGGCGTATGATGCCCAACTCAATCATTTTGTTGAATTCGTTCTTTGCGATAGCCAGACGAGAGGGATCAAGGCGTCTTGGACGTGCGAACACAGGTGGACCCTCTGTCTTTATGTGGTGTACGACGGTATGCGTCGGTTTGTCGTGTTTGAAACTCGGTCGTAATAAATCTGGAAACTGATTAAGTAAATTGACGTATTTGTCGTTCTCATGATGAGGTTTAACTAATAAATGTATGGAAGTCTCATTTGATATAATTCCTCTAATTTCCTTACTCTGTTCGGCAAGGACAAGTTTCCTATTTCTGACATCTACCAGTATTTTGTGGAATTGCAGGAAATCAATGCCGATTATAGGAACGAGGACGTCCGCTATGATGAAACTCCAGGAAAAATTAGATTTAGGACCGAAATTTAATTGCAACCGCCTTTTGCCGTACGTCTTGATGTCAGACCTGTTTGCAGCTTGTAGTTTTAGTTTGGGGTCAGGTGTGTTTTTCTCGAGTGCAGTAGGTGGTACTACACTAACCTCTGCCCCAGTGTCGACTAAAAACTGTGTGCCGGTTCTTTTGTCTGTAACATATAATAGACGACTGTCTTGAGAGTTGTGGTCAGTGAGTGCAGTCGTCATTAACCTACGGTCTTGACGTTCCTTTTTCTGTGTGCTTGCAAAGTTACAAGGCGGAGTACATTTTCTAGCTTGTTTGCCATATGTTCTATGGTACCAGCAAATGTTGTGTCTAGTAGTGCTTGGACTACGTCGTCTACGGCTTGTGGATGTTCCTCTACGCTTGCTGTGGGAGGCATTCAATAATTGGATCTGAGCTACCTGTTTCGTAAGGGTATCAACTGATCGTCGTAACTCGGCGATCTCGTCAGCTGAGCTTGATTGGATTTGAGATACAAGGTGAGTCTTGGACCGTTCGTAAATTCTGTCGGCTATGTCTGCTAGTCTATCAAAATCAACGTCTTCGTCTCCAATTGCTAGTATCTGTTGAATGTTTTGAGGGAGACGTCTGAGCCACAATTGATATAGTAGACGTTTGTCTACTGTACGATTTCCTAATAAGTTTGTCATGTGGCGTTTTAACTGTGACGGTGTATTGTCACCTAGCTCTACGTTGGCTAAAAGTTGATCAATTGTCTGTTGATCGGTGAGAGATGTGACACGAATGACCTCTCTTTTTAGACAATCGAATGGTGAGTCAGGATCCGGCTTAAAAATGACATCCGGCACTTGTTCAATGACGTCATCTGGCAGCAGTGAATTTGCATAACTAAATTTCGTACTCTGGTTTGTGATTTTGTTTGCTACAAAAAAGCTTTCTAAACGAGCGAACCAGAGTTCAGCCTTTCGTGGATTAAAAGTAGGTAAAGGTACAGAGATGGCACCCACGGAAATAGATTTAGATGAAAGGCTTAACGAATTATCAAGTGCCATGATACGAAAAAGCAATAGTAATAATAAGCTGAGGATTGTAATATACAATATGAAGAGAAATAAAAAATAACAACAAAAAATATATATAAGACTCACCAAAAAGAAAAACTGTCACTTTTGGTTTAAATATGCGAATATACAGCAATAATTCCAAAGGAACAATGTTATGGATGGATTTATTATGACTGTTAATGAATTGTTAATAATTGTAATAGTAATTCCAATGTGAAGTTCTTTAAGATACGCTTGGAGAGTATGCAGCAGAATTCGTAGAGGAATGGTGTGTGTTCCAAAAGCGGTTCACCAATATGTTAAGGGTAATGTCCTTAATATCTGACTCCAAATAATGATATTCCGTAACTGAGTATTTAAGGTAGGCTTAATCTCCTAGTAGAATTACGGATTTACTCGAGATTATTAAGAAGCCTGAACACCAGTTATGGAGATAGTTTATTATTAATGAATAATGATAATCCACAAGCGTATTGTGAGCAAGCACACGATGGGAACAGAGAGAGTGTGAGTTTGTTAAAAATCCATATATATTTGAGGGTTAATCGGGTGTAGATAAATTATCGATTATCTGCACGTTGAAACCAAAAGGAAAATAGTTTAAAAGTTAATGTACAGACATGCATTCGATAATACACACCGAAATTAACATAGTGAATTAAGAGTCTAAGTTACAATGAATAGACAGATGATACAGTGGCCAAATGGGCTTGCCACATAAGCTCCCATCCAGAACATTGATGTTTTTATGTACCAAAAAAAAATTGGATTAACATCTATGTTCGACAAAGAGATAAAGAACGGAACTGTTTTTAAAATGAAAGTACAACTCAATATGATGAGTAAGCGTAAAATTGTAATAACAGCTTGTGTGTTGAAACGTTTCATATCATGTATATACAAGTGTATATTTAACATTAATGAATTGTATAAAGTTAAAATGTAAGCATAATGATGATCCGTGGGGCCAATAAAAAAAAATAGTAATCAAAATGAAGTAGGATTTTTATGTGTTATAAGAGTAGTCTCAGGATTTGGTCTAGATAAATATGGTGGTTGCTACATACCTATCTGGCCAATGTACTCTTCTTCCTGATCTTGTTGTAGTTTGTGCTGCTGCTGAATTTCGATTTGAAGTGTTGCTTGTCGCAGGTAGTTTGAATGGTGCTTGCTCTGCTGCAGGTTTAGATGGTTTTACAGTTGTCTGTTTTTTCTCAAAAATATTTCGTCTCATACCGAAAGGTACAAAAGGGCGAGTTTTACCTGTTGAGGTATCACAAGTTAAGGTGTCCTTGTTGTTTATGGGGATGTTTTGGAATAATAATTTCGTTTCCTTAGACTGCAAAAGCTTTTGTAGCTCCGTATCGACCTTTTGGTGCTTTGCCATTTCTTGATAGTCTATATCAGGGATCGAGAAGGTATTGATATTTAATCTCGATAGTGCATCTGCTGCCTCATTTGCATTGCCTTTAATATAGCGTATATCAGCTGCAAATTGTGAAATGAATTCTAGTTGACGAATTTCGCGCGGACTATATTTATCATGGTTGTGCATCAAGGACTTAGTTAGGGGTTTGTGATCAGTATATATCGTGAAAGAATTGCCTTCTAACATGTAGCGAAAGTGTTTGATGGCTAAGTAGATAGCCAACAGTTCTCTACCGAATGTGCTATATTTCGTTTGCGTTGCGTTTAGCTTTTTTGAGAAAAATGCAAGGGGTTGCCATTGTTCATTGACACGTTGCTGAAGTACAGCACCTACTGCTATGTTAGAAGCGTCGGTCATTATTGCTAAAGGTGCATCAACCTTTCGTCGTGCGAGTAATGCCTCTGTGCTTAAAGCGCTTTTCAACTGATCAAATGCTTGAATTGATTGCGGTGTCATTGCTAATGATTTAGCTCGTCCCCTTAATAAATCAGTTAGTGGTTTTGCTAAGTCTGCACATTTAGGGATAAAACGTCTGTAAAAGTTGATCATCCCAAGGAAACGTCGTAGTTTCTTGAATGAATCAGGCAAAGGATAATTTTTGATAGCTTGTGTTTCCTCAGGAACTGGTTTAATGCCTTGCTTATCAAGTACGTGACCTAAAAAGGTGAGGGATTGTTTTCCGAACTCACATTTGTCAGGATTGACCGCTAACCCATACTCGTTTAGCTTCTCAAAAAGCATTTTCAGATGAGTTAGATGTTCATTTTCATCTTTGCTTGCTATAAGTAGGTCATCTATGTAAGCATACACAAACGGTAAGCCCCGTACCACTTGGTCAATAAAACGCTGGAAACTTTGTGCAGCATTCCTTAATCCGAAAGGCATGCGGACGAATTCGTATAGTCCAAAGGGGGTAGTAATGGCTGTTTTAGGAACATCGTCCGGATGAATTGGAATGTGATGGTAAGCACGGACGAGATCAATTTTTGAAAAGATCGACACGTCAGATAGGCTATGAGTGGAGTCATGCAGATGTGGGAGAGGATATCTATCTGGTATGGTCCGGCTGTTGAGAGCTCTATAGTCACCGCACGGTCTAACTTCGGAAGAGTTTTTCTTAGGTACCATATGAAGCGGTGATGCCCACGGACTATCGGAGGGGCGTATGATGCCCAACTCAATCATTTTGTTGAATTCGTTCTTTGCGATAGCCAGACGAGAGGGATCAAGGCGTCTTGGACGTGCGAACACAGGTGGACCCTCTGTCTTTATGTGGTGTACGACGGTATGCGTCGGTTTGTCGTGTTTGAAACTCGGTCGTAATAAATCTGGAAACTGATTAAGTAAATTGACGTATTTGTCGTTCTCATGATGAGGTTTAACTAATAAATGTATGGAAGTCTCATTTGATATAATTCCTCTAATTTCCTTACTCTGTTCGGCAAGGACAAGTTTCCTATTTCTGACATCTACCAGTATTTTGTGGAATTGCAGGAAATCAATGCCGATTATAGGAACGAGGACGTCCGCTATGATGAAACTCCAGGAAAAATTAGATTTAGGACCGAAATTTAATTGCAACCGCCTTTTGCCGTACGTCTTGATGTCAGACCTGTTTGCAGCTTGTAGTTTTAGTTTGGGGTCAGGTGTGTTTTTCTCGAGTGCAGTAGGTGGTACTACACTAACCTCTGCCCCAGTGTCGACTAAAAACTGTGTGCCGGTTCTTTTGTCTGTAACATATAATAGACGACTGTCTTGAGAGTTGTGGTCAGTGAGTGCAGTCGTCATTAACCTGCGGTCTTGACGTTCCTTTTTCTGTGTGCTTGCAAAGTTACAAGGCGGAGTACATTTTCTAGCTTGTTTGCCATATGTTCTATGGTACCAGCAAATGTTGTGTCTAGTAGTGCTTGGACTACGTCGTCTACGGCTTGTGGATGTTCCTCTACGCTTGCTGTGGGAGGCATTCAATAATTGGATCTGAGCTACCTGTTTCGTAAGGGTATCAACTGATCGTCGTAACTCGGCGATCTCGTCAGCTGAGCTTGATTGGATTTGAGATACAAGGTGAGTCTTGGACCGTTCGTAAATTCTGTCGGCTATGTCTGCTAGTCTATCAAAATCAACGTCTTCGTCTCCAATTGCTAATATCTGTTGAATGTTTTGAGGGAGACGTCTGAGCCACAATTGATATAGTAGACGTTTGTCTACTGTACGATTTCCTAATAAGTTTGTCATGTGGCGTTTTAACTGTGACGGTGTATTGTCACCTAGCTCTACGTTGGCTAAAAGTTGATCAATTGTCTGTTGATCGGTGAGAGATGTGACACGAATGACCTCTCTTTTTAGACAATCGAATGGTGAGTCAGGATCCGGCTTAAAAATGACATCCGGCACTTGTTCAATGACGTCATCTGGCAGCAGTGAATTTGCATAACTAAATTTCGTACTCTGGTTTGTGATTTTGTTTGCTACAAAAAAGCTTTCTAAACGAGCGAACCAGAGTTCAGCCTTTCGTGGATTAAAAGTAGGTAAAGGTACAGAGATGGCACCCACGGAAATAGATTTAGATGAAAGGCTTAACGAATTATCAAGTGCCATGATACGAAAAAGCAATAGTAATAATAAGCTGAGGATTGTAATATACAATATGAAGAGAAATAAAAAATAACAACAAAAAATATATATAAGACTCACCAAAAAGAAAAACTGTCACTTTTGGTTTAAATATGCGAATATACAGCAATAATTCCAAAGGAACAATGTTATGGATGGATTTATTATGACTGTTAATGAATTGTTAATAATTGTAATAGTAATTCCAATGTGAAGTTCTTTAAGATACGCTTGGAGAGTATGCAGCAGAATTCGTAGAGGAATGGTGTGTGTTCTAAAAGCGGTTCACCAATATGTTAAGGGTAATGTCCTTAATATCTGACTCCAAATAATGATATTCCGTAACTGAGTATTTAAGGTAGGCTTAATCTCCTAGTAGAATTACGGATTTACTCGAGATTATTAAGAAGCCTGAACACCAGTTATGGAGATAGTTTATTATTAATGAATAATGATAATCCACAAGCGTATTGTGAGCAAGCACACGATGGGAACAGAGAGAGTGTGAGTTTGTTAAAAATCCATATATATTTGAGGGTTAATCGGGTGTAGATAAATTATCGATTATCTGCACGTTGAAACCAAAAGGAAAATAGTTTAAAAGTTAATGTACAGACATGCATTCGATAATACACACCGGAATTAACGTAGTGAATTAAGAGTCTAAGTTACAATGAATAGACAGATGATACAGTGGCCAAATGGGCTTGCCACAGATGGCCGAATGATTCCTAAATCTATCGTGTGGTTTAATTCGTTTTTAGCCAACCGCAGCGTTTCGAGAGCTAGTGGGAGCGCTTTCGAGAGTACAGGTTGTCCTGCAGTCATGACGTGATGTGTAACATTGCTGGTTATACATGGCGATTTCGGTTGCGTTTGGTATATCTCGGGGTACTTATATAGTATTTATTGTTAGTATGGATCGCTCTTGTGCCTTAATGTGACTCGGGATAATCTTCAACTGGAAAAAGAAGTGACACAAACAGATAATTAAGTATTTCTATCTACTAACCTCCATTTTCACGTGTCGATGAGCAGACCATGGTGTTGTAGTAGGTCTATACCAATGTGTTCGTGTAAGTCCATATCAGAATAAACATACTGTTACGTCCAAGTTTTGCTCGTTCCAGTTATTGAAGTACGGACTATCGATCTACTTGCAAATTACGAACCCAAATTATAATAGAACCAAGCCCCAATTTAGATACGAAATTTATTCGTAATTCACAAATGATCGACCAAATGTCGTTCTAACAACAATAATTACAACAATTACAAAACAAACCTCCAACTTTGTAGGTTCCCGGAGCAAAACTCCCAAATACCAAACCAAAGCCAAAGAGAGCACCGAAATACCAAACCAATATGTCCGAAATAATGATATAAACAAACAAGCTCAGAAGTTAAGTAAAACAATTACATCCAAAAACACAGCAAATTATTAGTGTACAATAAAAGGTTTTAATCCGCCAAATGTCTTCAGTTCTCCCGTAACACATACCATCAACCATATGTGGCGATCTGTTTGCCGTTTTCCTCCAGTAAGTTTAAGACCGGTTCGTGCAGTCGGTAGTTGGGTTCCGCCAGTATCGATGAAGTAACGAACTTTCGTAATCACATCAGTGACGTATAACAGACGGTTATGTTCGCCGGCTACGGTTCCCGTTAACGCGGGCCAGCTGGGAAGTTTCTCGAGACATTTATAGTATCGGTCGGTTTGCAGTTCGGAAAATTGTAGAGATTTCTGCAATTGTGAGATGATTTTCCCCATTGATCATGACACTAGCACCAGTCGGGGTTATCTGTCTCTCGTGATCTAGAAAAAGATTGTCTTCATGAAGCACTCCGTCAGGGAATTCGGGAGCGTCTATGATTATGAAGAATACCAAGGTAACGTGTCAGGGTATGACAGAGTTCTGTAACGTCGTTTCTCGTCGTTCGAGTTTTTTCGACTGAAAATACCTTGGCGTTAGAACTTCTGGTGGTCTCCGGAATTCCGTCGACAGGTGCAGCCAGCTCGCCTACAGAGTCGTTTTGAGATAAAACAAGCACTGTCTGCACCTGTTGAGTAAGCTAAGACAAGAAAAGTTGTCTAAACAGGCATTCATCAAAAGTCCTCTCTCATTCTTAACATGTCCGTTGCTGAGCCATGTTGCAAACCGATGTTATTGAAGAGTTGACCTAACTTTTGTCGATAGGTTAGATCTCCACACATAAGAATAGGCTTTCTTAGAGTTTCGTAAGGTTCCGAAACATCACTAGTGAGCATACTAGTTGTGACGTGCCTGTTGAATTCGCGCGGTAGTGCATTTACTACTGTGACGAATTGCTCACGTGGGTTGGTCACGCCGTGCTCATAGAAATTAGCCTCTATGTGGCGGAACTAGGCTTCAATGCTGTCCGGCCATAAGGGCATTAGGCGAAACGTGGGTGGTGTCATAGTCTTAAGATTGAGAACTTTAAAAGTCTGTCTTGTCATGGTGAATATGAAGTTCAGGAAAGAACGAGGGAAAAATATTTAAAACACGAAAAAATCTCAACATATAAAAATTAGAATAAAGCAACCATATATGAAGTTCCAAAAAGAAACAGACTCATAGTTTGCGAGTTGTCGCAGCAGATCACTTTGGCTCACAAGTGAAAATGCCACGGGTATTTGTAGTCTGACAACACTTTAACTAATAACACCTATAATTTAATCGTGCCCAAGCAGTGAAATCAAAAGTCAGAAGCGAGGAGATTCGAAGATATACTTTATAGGTTATCAGTATATTGAGCAGTGACCGATCTTAACTGGCTGGCAATTGCAGGAGAAGTTGAGCACGACGTTCCCACTTGCGATCTGGTCCGGATGCGTGACCGGATAGTCAGGATGGACTTAACCTCGTTCAAACTATTCTCAATTTACCACCATACAAGTACCTAGTTAGGATATCGGAAAATTGCACTTTAAAAGTATATATGAATCTGTAAAAGCTTTACAGAGACTAACAACTTCATCTGCGACCAGTTATAGTTCAGCAGTATTCAAAAACTTTAGAAAAGTCAAAATTATGTACGATAGAACTTCTACCCAAAGTTGAATTGTCAGAGAATCTCTGACCAACGAACTTGGCCTATACAACAGCAACGGGAAATATGATAACCTTTACACGAACTCTGAAATATCTTCCCTCTTTTCCTCTGAAACAAAAACAGATCGAGTATGCCTCTAAAATTAAAGTCCAATATCGTGGCCAAAGCAACTACAATTATTCTTCTCCCGCTCAAACATCAACGTACTTCTAAAGGTCGAATCAGTGATACCTCTGCAGTGCTCCTGCATCGTCCTAACGTTACTGACAAAATCTTAATAGCTGAAGAGGAAATCAGGAAAATACGTTGGAGATAGATAGGACACACACTGGGGAACTAACCAAACTGAATTGAGAGGCAAGCACTAACTTGAGATCGTGAAGGAAAATGGAAGTTTGGAAGACCTAAGAACACATTGCATTTGTAACTGAAAACAGTCATGAAAAGGATGAATAGCGACTGGAAAGAACTGGAAAGAATTGTCGAGGACAGAGTTGGATAGAGTGTGCTGGTGGACGACCTATTCTCCACGAGTTTTAGCAAGCGTGAGTAACTTAATTTAGATCTCTTTAATTACCACACTCTATACTTCTCCGAAAATCTATCCAAGAAAATAAATAAAACCTAAAAAATGTACGTTTCAGTCCCTATCTACTTCTTTCAAAATGGATCTAGAATTATTCTTTGCAAAATATGTTAAAAACTAAATACTCCTCTTTCATATTTCCTAGTCTGTCCCAAGCTGATACGCTAATGGAAGGAGGAGTAAAAAGGTATTTCACTCGCAAAATGGCCCAAACTGGTTCACTCATTGACTATCCTTCCGGATGCCCATTGACGTGAAGCCCTGTCTGATAAAGAAGTTGAAGGTCTAATTTGGCTTTTAACTTCAAGCTACTGAAGATGCCACAGGTATTCGGAGATCGACAACGCTTTAACCAGTAACACCTAATATGAATGTTACCCACCAAGTGAAATCAAAGGACAGAAGCGTGGAGGTTCGAAGATAGATTTGATAGGCTATCAACATATCGAGGATCGTCTGATCTAATTTGGTTAGCAATTGCAGGGGTTGTTGAGCAAGGCGTCCCCACTCATGATCTGGTATGGATACATGACCGAGGGCCTTTATCTAGGTGAGTCCATTAGAACTAATGTGGTCAGCATTCAATGTCGAAAGCTTAAAGAGCTATTTATTTTGGGGATTTATTCACCGCTACACTACTATAGAAACTAAATAATTCCCTATATATCACAGCCCTCACTTTAAATCCATAAATACAAGAAATTTATTATAAAATGCTTCAACTTTAGAAATATGAAACAAAACTCGGACAAGCTCATTCTTCACTGGGTATGCACTAACAAAGAATAGCCTTCTTTCAAAAACACTCATGGAGGACGGCTTTCATGCTTCTCTTAGGCAATTAATAGAGACCTTATTTATACTGAC